AATTTTCTATCTGATAAGTCACTTGCCTCTTTTCAACTAGCTCTTCTTCTGGCGAATTCTCTTGTTCTTTCATTTGGGGTCTGTTTCTTTGTCTCCCATTTTGGCCGCTTCTTTGTGTTTGTTTCTGTGCATTAGGTAGATCTGCAAAGTCTCTGGTACGGGCCTTTGTCAGACGCTGCTCGTGACTGGCCCTGGTCAACCTGTTTGGAGCTCTCAGCGACCTGCAGAGTGTGGTCCCCTCTCCTGGGCCTGTTTGTGTGCAGAAAGCCATTCATTTCAAGATACATATTTCACACTTCCCTCTCTGTCACCATTGACAAAAACATGGTGGTGATTGTTGAACCAGTATGATCTATAAATTTCTTTTAAAGCACCAAAATCACATATGGACCATTTTATTTTTCATTTTACCGTAGTTGACTTAAAAACAAGATATTTAGAGGATTTCATCCTGTGTTTTTAAGTGCCCTATTTAGACTGTAGTGGGAGTCAGTATTCCACTTTCTGTCTTCAACGTGGACCACGGGCAGTGGTCACTTTAACATTGGTGTTTGCCTCTGGCTTTTTCCCAAAGCCAGCCCTTTGTAGACAGGTGAGTGTGCCATGTTTGAGAACTCTCCAAAGTGACTAAAGGAGAACCTATAAAAAGTTACGTGTGTAGGCCAAGAAGCACTGTAGGGAAGTGCATTTGCAGTCCCCATTCTGAGTTACTCTTGTTTAAAATTACTTGTGTTTGGCCCCATCTGGTGCGGCTCAGTTGACGGGGCATCATCCGCAAACCGAAAGGTCACCAATGGGATTTCCAGTCGGGCACATGCCTTGGTTGCAGTTCAGTCCCTTATCAGGGCAGGTACAGAAGGCGGCCAGTCATCGTTTCTACCTGTCACACCGGTGTTGACGTTTCTCTCCCTCTCCTTCTCTCTCCTATCCCCTCTCTCTAAAACAAACAAAAAATAGCCTGTGTTTTGTCATTGAGTGACAGACTTTAAACTGTTGTGTATCATCCCAACCAAAGGGCAGTTTAAATACTGTTCTTCTGGTCGATTGCAGGACTACGTGTTTAAATGACAGGGTGGCGGGACCAGTGCCTGGCTGCTTGCAGACCTGGCCGCAGGGAGCCTGGCCCTGAGGTCAGCATGCTGTGGGTGTGAGCGCCACCTAATGGTCACTCTCACGGGGTGCAGTACAGTGGCTGCCTTAGTAGTGTCATCGCGACAGAACATCATTTTTTAATGTTTACCAAATTCTCCCCCAGGATATTCTTGGGCATTCATTGCCACAACTGTTGCACGTTAAGAATCTGTAGCGTCAGGACAGTAATTTGTTAACAAAAACTATCCGTGCGCATAGACCCATTAGAAACCATAGCCCAGTGGTTCACAAACCCAGAGGTCAAGGTTAAGGCACTTTGCTCTTCCCTGTACCTCTTACCTTTTCATAGGGTTTTGCAGTGGAAATGTTTCCCTCGGTTCAGCTGGTGTGTTTTCCTGGTTTCACTTTGTTCTGCCTGCCACCGTTTCCTTCAAAAAGGGGAAACGCTGGTGGTGGACTTCTTCACCCCCAACTCCACTTGGAGCGCTCCATGTGGTGCCGTGGTCGGAAGGCGTTAGCGGTCAGTGAGTGCGTGCCGCCTCCGGAACGGGGCCGGCCCCCGAGGGGGCTGCGCGCCTGGCAGTGGTGGTGGTCAGCCCATCCGAGTAAGGGAGCCGTTTGTTGTGAGCCGCAGAAGCCTCTGGCGTTGGCCACTGCAGGCAGGTTGGCGTGCTCTCAGCCCAGTCACGGGTGGCCACCCACGTATCCTGACCCAAACAAGCTGTCTCAGTTTCCAGAATCCAACAGAAAGCACTAGGGCCCTTTTTTAGTGTTAAGCCCATCTCGCTTATTCCTGGCAGTAATTTCCAGAGCAACAACGAACAGGATTTCATGTGCGGTGATTAAAGACCGGCTCCTTCCCCCATTTAGACAAGCGGCCGAGTGCTGTGCCCCACGTTCCCGCGAGGCCTTGTGTCCCTCCGGCTGCTTTACTGCTGGGAGGCCCAGGGGCCCGCAGCACACGTCCTCTCGTGGTGTCCACCTCACTGAAGGGTGCCCTCCAGGAAGAAAAGAGCGCCCTTCTGACTTGTCGGCTTTCTACGATCACACCCGAGTCCAGCAGACAAGCAGAAAGTTCTGCAGCCGGTTGCTGTGTGGCATCACACTGGTCTCAGCAAGTGTTCGCAATGTCGGGGGGCCCTAGAGAAAGAAGTGTAGAGCGCCGGGCTCACAGCAGGCTTGGGGAATTCGGTTTCTACCACTTACTAGCTCTGTGTCTTTAGGCAAGTTACTTAGCTTCTCTGATCCTTTCTTCCTTTGTATGTGAGCATAATTCCACCCACCTTCCTCCAGGAATTTAAAAAATCAAGTATGTAAAGTGCCCAGAAAATATGGCAGGCATATTTGTGAGTACGTTCTTCGGGAAGTATTAATATTAAAGTCATTGTCAATCCCTCCATGTTGTGTGTCAAAACTGAGGCCCTGGAAGCCAAAGTGGTTTGTTCCCACATCCCAGTGACAGTGGAAAGTGTGGCTAGTGACAGAGTTGAGGCCCGTGGTAACTAGCAGCCGGCACCTAAAGATTCAACAGCAGTTGAATTTTTAATTTTTTGTTATCTTAAGGGTATTTTTTAAAATCTCTGTAATGCAGACATTCTTCATGCCTTTGAGAAACCTTTACATAACCATCCGCCTGGTAGATTTTATATTCAGATTCTCATTTCCTCCTTAGTTATAACAAGTGTGCAAAAGGAACCTTTAGCTTCCTGTGCATGTTAGTTCCACCATGTGTGAAGCTGAATTTGGTGGAAGCTTGAACACAGGGCCATCTTTTGTCCTCTGCCCATTCACTTAAAATACTTTTTAGTAGCTGGGTCATGGGCTCGGCAGTTGCCCTTCCTAGGAGGCATACACACCTCAAAGGGCCAAGGTGTGCGTGTAAATTGTGTGAACATACAGAAGAGAGTGCAGATTGCTGAAATAGGCACAGTGTCTGCAAAGGCAGAGCCTCCGGGGGTGCAGGAAGATGGACCCATAGAAAAGGTGGCCCCAGTCTGGGTCTCGGAAGGGCAGGTCCAAGTTGGCTGGGGTCGGGAGGCAATCAGCGACTTGAAAGTAGTCTCCAGAAAACAGCCCATCAGTTAGTTAGGGATGCTCTCCCTGTGATTTATCTATCAGCAAGTTAAGCAACTGTCCCAACAGGGGCCACTTGTCCTCTTCCGAAACAGTTACATGAGTGCTAAACTTGCTTTTGTTTGAACGAAAACACCTCAGAGGGACCTAAGATATTTGAGTTAGTGCCAGCTGTCTTGTCTACATGCCGCTGTTAAGACCCTAACCCCTCAGAAATGTGTTAGTAGCTGCTGGGCAGGATCTTTCTAGGTGTGAGCTGACTGGAGGGGTGAGTCAGAAGCCAGGGGGTGGCCTCACGCCCATTCTTCATGAACTGGGGTGGAGGCTGTAACGATTCAGCAGGAAGTCGTCATGCCACTTGGAAACTCAGCTGGGCCCTCACGGCTCCTTTCTCCCAGAGCCCCACTCACACCCTTAGTCCTTCAGCTTTCTAGAATGTTCTTTCCAGGCCATCATCAAGTGTTAATTTGTACAGAATATCTCTGAATGGTTTAAATAATATTTAAAAGGAAAAAACACATTCAGACCTTTACTACTTTGAATTTTCAAATGGACTGTGTTTGAGCTTTGTCTACAAGCCAGAAAGTGGAATCACTACAGATAGCTACACATCACAAGACTAGTGTACTGTTTTTTATTAATGACTTATGTTAATCTCTTAAAGAACCTTTAAATTTTTTTTACTATTATACATTAAGAGCCAACAAATGACAGTTTAATGGAGGTACAGGGGGTGATAAATCATCATTAATTTGGAACAGACAGGCAAAGTGGATTTTTATTTTTCCTGTTAGCTTTACTCCCAAAAGTAAATATTAGTGGCCAGATCTTTGAAAAGTTTTTTGAAGGTACTGTATGAAGAGAAGCTTGACCCTCGGTTTGGAGTCTTTTAAAGATTTTGCCACATTGCCACCAACTTTCTTTGCTGTAAACTTTCTGGGAGAATTAAACCACCTGCCGTTAACCTCCCCACCCCCCCACCCCGAACTTACCTACAGTTAGAGAAATGACACTGCATTTATCTCCTTCAGAGCCTAGAGCACCTCCTGCTGCTTTGCAGTAGTGAAGAGGTTTGTCTCGAGTATAGACACAAAACTAACCAAACTAAGTCACCAAAAAGATAAGTTCAGGAGTCCGCATGGCAGTGGGGGAGGGGTGGGCCTACTAGAACCTGAGCCAGTCAGGGATACTCACAGCCAGTCGAACCTCCCTCCCTTCTTGTCCCAGGAAACCCTACAAAAAGAAGTGGAAGTCAGGTGCTCGCTGTGTAATTTGAATATAGGGAACTTGGTGTGTCTTTAATAGTACCTAATTTCAGAATGTTAAATAATAGAGCTAAAGGGAGTTTTGGAAATGCTTTTCCCCATATTCATTATGTTAGAAAACTTAGGTCAAAGAATTTTTTTAGTAACATACCCACACTGCTTCTTTGTTTTTCATTTCTTCTGTTTATTGATGTGAGGGTACTAAGTGATGTTAATAAAGAGTCAGGTCTTTTTAATGTTAGAATTTAATTTTGCTTGCTTTTGTAATTCCTGTTCTTATTTCAAGTATCCCCTTTTTTGCTTATATTTCTCTGTATAAATCTTGACAAGCTTGAAATGTGGAATTTATTTGTGGAATTTATATTAGTTGGAATTTTTACATAGTGCATTAAATAATTACTTGGCAATAGAGTTCAGCCTCTCTCTCCAGGACATAAATTACTTCAAGCAAACCTGAAAAGTAATAACCCCACCCCATGCACAAATGCATTATGAGAAATGGCTGCCAGGGCAGACCGCCGCCAGTGCGCGTGGTCATTGTACGGACACGTGTGCTTTCTCTTCACACAGGCAAGGCAGCTTTCCGGGCATGAATCCGAGCGGGCTCGTGGCTTCCAGCTCTCCCTACAGCCAGCCCATGAACAACAGCTCTGGGCTGATGAACACCCAGGCGCCGCCCTACAGCATGACGCCCAACATGGTGAACAGCTCCACAGGTAACCCTGGTGGCCCCAGGCTCCTGCGGCTGCCCGCCCCGGCCCTCCGCCCTAGGCCTGCACCCCTTCCTGGGACCGTACAAAACCCACTCCAGCCTCGGATCGTTGGTGAAAGGGGAAAATACTACTCCTCTGCTTCTTGGAAATTTGCTCAGTCTATTTAACTGTTTTAAGACTTGAGGATTCTATTTTATGTAAATTACTTTTATTCATTCTGTGTATAACATGTGGGCATATTTCCAGTGTCACTGGAGATGACTTGCTAAATATATACACTCAATTCTTTTGGGGGGGTCACTGTGGGACTGCTGGGGGATCCATGACAAAATCCGCCTTCTCCATTTGGTAGTGCTGGAGATACATGTTCAAATCCTGTTTTCAGATAAAGTGATTAAAGGCCAGAATGAGGGCAGAGGTCGAAGTATTTTTTTCATTTAGGGAAACTCACCTTAAATGTGTACATGAAAATGTGCTCTTTGTCAATTGTCTCTTTGAGAAATTACATATTTGATGAAGTGTTTTAAATTTTTCATTATGTTTACATTTTTCAGCCCACTTGATGATCTCAGTTGCTTTCTTACGAAATCCCATCTGATCAGTGCAGTAGGAAAATTCTGTCCGTTTGTGGCCATATTAAGAATGTCCAAAACTGTGCAAATGCATCTGTGTTCTTAGACTCCTTAGACCCTGAACCACCTCTCCGAGCCCCCTACCCACCTAGAGACTGTGAGTGCTGCTCTCTAACTGAAGGAACACCACGTAACTCAATCTGTGACCTGGGAGACCGAGAGGTGCCGTTTGGGGTAGGGTCGCTCCTGTAGTCGGTCCAGAGCAGCGTTGAGTGTCCCAGGATGCTTCCGACGTGTGAGGACAGTGTCGAGGGGGCAGAGGCCTGGCCTCCCTGTTCCATCTTCTCATTTCCTCTGCCTCTCGCTGCCTTCCCGGCCTCTCTTTCTCTGATAGGCCGCCTGAAGCTGTTGGATCTCGGTCGGGCTGGGCAGACAGCGGGCGGCTGGGCTTCCTGTCTGAGCCCCCGAGGCCTTGGTGTCTAGGGTCTAACTTAGTAGTGCCTTTCCCTGATTACTTCCCTCGAAAAGTCTGTGGAAGAGGAAACAATAGAAACTACTAGTGAAAGTTTTTAAATAAACAAATGGCCCTTCCTGGTGTCGGGCAGGCCATTCTTCCTCCCAGTGAGGTGGCCGTTTTACGTCTGCAGTGAGAAGTGCAAAGCTGAGCAGCCTGTGGGCTGGCAGCTTCCCCACTGTCCCAGGTAATAGGGGCTTTGGGTTATGACATGATGGGTTTTGTCTGGCTTGCCGAAATAAAATTACTTCAGAGCGTTGAAACTGCACAATAAATTCTTACCTACTATTAGCAGCACTCATTTTTCCCTTTTTCCTTTGGACTCCAGAGCCGCAGAACGAACCAACGACAAATAGATGGCACCATGCCCTGCCCGAGAAGATTTATGTATTCCTAAGGAACAGCCAGTTTAATGGGGATTCACAGAGAGGGGTGGTTTTTTTTTACTATTTTTCAGATAATTCAGTTATTCGTTATTTCATACAAGGTAATCTGTTCCACGAAAGGCCATTTATCCTCACAGGCTTTTGTAGAGGCTAGTCGTATGTATATATTTTTTATTCCATTGTGCATTTTGAAGTATTGAGTTTTTAATAATTTAAACATTTATCAGTTTTTTTCTACACATTCATGTGGTTTTATTGCAGCTTTATTAAGTCAAGGGCTACCTGATAGGAAGTAATCATCCAGCACATCCGAGGAATATTGACGAGACAGTGTTTACCATCCCCTGTGGATGGGCGCACACATGTCTGCCAGACTGGGGGGCGGGCTTCGGGGAAACAGGCGTGGCTGGGCCCACTCTACGTGGTGAGCGCTGCGGAGCATTTGGGTCCAAAGACGCACACCCAGCTCTTATAGGGATGGGCCAGAAATGGCTTGGGTCACCGTCACGTCTGTCTACGTGGTTTGTACCCATGGACATAACTCCCCAGTGATAACCGCAAAGCACCGTCTCCGTCGAAGACACTTTGGGAGACCATGGAGATAGTGCAGATGTTGCCAGGCTGGCGGTGGGATTCTCTGAGGCTCACTGAGTAGCCAAGCCCGCTGGCGTTCCACACCCTCTTTGCTGACTTAGGCCGTTGTTCTGTAGACAGTGAGCAGGGCCACAAAAGCCCTTCTGTGTGGTGACAGATTGTTCCAGGCTTCAGTGAGCAAGTAATTATTTAAATGCAGTGAGTGTGCGTATGAATGTGACAACTATTTCTTCACTGAAAATGCTGGGATGGCAAGCAGGGGGGAATTTTTCTCCAAAGGAGCTGTTTCTTTAAAAAGTATTTGAATTAAAAGATTAGAACTATGGATTACTATGAGCAAAATTATAAGTGACATAGAACCTTGTTCAGTACACCCTTACATAATTACTGGTGGTGTTAGCTGCATGGCTTATTTGTGTTCCGCTTTATAATAGTCTTCAGCCCTGCAACATTCCTTAGCCTGCACACCATCCTAAAGAAGACAACTAAGTTCCTGGAAGAAGGCCTGGCGTGTGGGGGTGTGCGTCCCTCACATGTGTAGGCACTTCCGGCAGCAGAGCCTGCAGATCGGAAGTGAGCCACTGCTCAGTTCTGAGCCCTGTCAGATTCCAGGAATGGGTCTTCCAGCTCGACCCGAAGTGCCCTGCCCCAGTGCTCCTAGGGCAGGGTGGACTAGCTCCGGCAGCCTCGCCAAAGAGGAAAGGCAGTCACTCCCCCACGGCCTCCACAGTTCCTTCAACTTTCTGAGAAATCAAGAATGGCCTTGCAAAGTCCCCTGAAAGGCTCCTTAAAACGACAGATCCCTGGGTGCCCCTCAGAACTTTGGGGTACGGGGCGAGGGTGGGAATCCATATTGCTAGCAGACTCCGGCTTCTGTCTTGAGATTTCACGTCCCTTCCCAAAGGGAGTTTCAGGTCTCAAGTACCAATGCTAGCAGTTGTCTAGGTAGTTTAGAGCTATTGTTGATTTTGTTAGCTGGCTTTAAATCGATGATTTTAGGTGAATTGCTGCCCCCCTCTCAAGAAACACAAATATTTGATAAGTTATAAAAGCCGTGCATCTTAAGCTGGAGAATATGTACGCTGAGTTGCACCGAGCATGTGGCTGGGACTTTCTCTCGAGCCACAGTCTGTCTCCAGGGAGGATCCTGGGCCGCACTTGTGCAACTTGTGGAGGGGCATCAGCCTAGGGAAGTTTCCAGGGGTTCTTTCAAGGCTTTGCTGGTCTCAGTAGAGATGTTTCTCTTGTGCTGTTCTCAGACGCAGTGTGTTAACTGTTATTTATATATTTGCCACATATAAAAATAGCCATGAATATATATCTACAGATGAATACACATAGATAGGCCCTTTGGTGTTTTCAAAAACAAGGAGTAAAATATCCTGCAAAGTATGCTATATCGTTTATCATGGAAGAAGAGAACTGTTTGTGCGTTTCTGGTCCTATTTTACCACCTCTGGGAATGGTTTTGCAGCCTTGCAAGGAGACTGAGAAAGGAAGTTGAGAAGGGTAGGAACGAATGTTTAAGTTCCCTTTTACTCACACCATATGTTCTTTATGTTGTTTTTGAATATATTAAATCCAGGGTGAAATAGCTGCCTTAGGACCTTGACCCACACTTACCTTAAGAAATCATTCTGCCTCTTAAATTTCCACAGTAAAGCCAGAGGCGAGTGCTGGCAACGTGTTTACAGCACTTTGCCGCAGTCCACGCACACAGGCCCCTTACTGCCCCTTTTATGTCTGGGCTTTACCTGCTGGACTCGGGCACCTTGATTTAACGCATCCTTGTAATAGTGGTGGCCTTTCTTTCCTGGGAAAGGGGAAGAAAATAGCGCCCCTGGAGTCCCATTGCCCTGGGAGGCATGTGGCTCTTTACGTGATTCACTGAGAATTCTACCGAGAAGTCAGAAATAAGCATTTCGGCAGAAGAATAATGAAAGCCCCTGTCAGGAGAGACTTTATGGTCCCTTCAGTAGGATAAAATTTACATCGTAAGGCAGGAGTACTGAACAAAACTGTTTCTCTACTTCCTACCCTAATTTATTTCTCAAAATAATAGAGCAATGCTATTTTGACATTTTCACACTTGCGTAACACAGATGCCCATTTTTAAATATGTAACATTTTATATATTTTAAATGAAGAAGCTTGGAGAATTTTAAATTAATATACATGCTTATATTTATCTAAGTCTGATTTTTAAATCAGTGTAAATTATCATTAATTATCATAATACTTATTGACCTAGCTCTTCGTACTTAAATTTGCTTTTGTGTACATTAACACATTTTATGTGTGAAGAAAAGTACCACTACTTTTTATTGTTTTAAATAATGGGCATAAAATATTATGGATACCAACAAAACTTATTTGTTACAACCTTTGGAGAGTAAGGACTTAACAGAAGCCACGTGTTCATGACTTTGCCGCTTTCTCTGGAATTGTATGGCTGTCGTTCCTTTGAATCCACTCTGTGAATAACTAGCAAGGACATGTGGCCTTTCATAAATAAGACCCCTTTTCCATGCTCATCCTGCTTCCCCCCTTATATTCTTATAAAAAGGGTCTTTCTTAATGTGCAGATTTACCAACTCATATCTCGCCAGACCCCAGAGGTAAAACTGCCAGAAAGCAACAAGACAGGCTTCTTCGTGTAATATCTCTCAGCTGCTTTTTTGAGGTTTCACACATTCTCAAAAATAACAGCATTTTTAGCTGATCCCAATAGATTTTTCTCTGCAGCTGCATCACTTGAAAAAGCTTTTTGTTCCAGTTCTTAAAGTCTAAGTATTGAAAGTAATTTGAAAAAAAAAAGAAAAACATCCCAATTATGATTTGTGTGTGTGGTGATGACTTCAAGGGCTGACTGGGCTGCAAATGGGCTTTGAAAAACAAGCCACTGGAAAACAGGCATTTCCGAGCACACCATTGAGCGTGCCCGTGTAAACTCCTGGGCACGTGGCGGGGCAGGCTTTTCTGGCAGGACCTCTGGTCTCAACCTGCAGCGATGCTAACGATATTAGCAAATTAGCACCACGGAGCTTGCCAGCTAATTCGCCAGAGCCCTGCTCACTCTCTCACTGCTGTAATTAAAACTAATTATTTTCTAAAACATAGTAATACACGAGTATGTGCAATAATCGTTTTGTAGTGGGCAATCTGTGGAGCCTTTTCTAAAGCTTCCTTTTTCTTTGTTTTTTGGCACATCGGGCCCCACGTGCACTGCCTTGCTGAAACCAGCACTCTCGCCTGCAGGATGTAAACTGGGTCCCAACCATAAAACCCCAGGTCTAGCTCATTTTGAAATAGAATGTTTTCTGGTGTCCGCTCACTTCTGAGGCTCAGGGTTCCCTCCGTCTTCCTCTCCCACCTCCACCTCTGCTCACATCTGTCTGACGTCACACTCCCAGCCCGGGGCTATGCAGATGGCTCTCCCCGTGGGGTTCTGCAGGAACTCAGCTGTCGTTCTCCGGGTATCCGCACTCACTCCCCACTGCAGCCTTGCTCTCCCTTCAAAAAGAAATCCAGACCTATGTTTTTCGCTTGACATTGTCTATTCTTATTTGTAATAAGGGTGTGTAAATCATTCTTTGGTGACCCTTTCATTCTAATGTGTGGATGAAGTTGATTGAATTTCTGAGCCTCGAGATAGAAAACGAGTTTTGCGTGGGGTTGTTGGGTTGACCCTTGAGCCAGTGTGGGTGTCCGACCTGGGCATTTGAGCTCTGCTGCAGACCGAACAGATGTATGCAGTGCACCAGGCTGGAAGGAAACCAGCCCCGCTGCAAAATAATCAGAAGTTCTTTCCTTCACAACTTACTTTTGATCGTTGTCTTGGACGCTCTGTGTCACAGTTTTCTTCCATTATGATAGACCGGGCTACAACGTAGCAGATTAAGATTTTCAAATGAAACAATATAAAGTGCAGATGATTTTGCAAACTACAGATTATGTGAATTTAGGAAATTAAGAAAGCACTAAATCCCCTTGACACCGGCCAAAAAATATACACAGCCAACACTGGCCTTCAACACCTGATGAACAATTGAGAGATTGGGTTTATGGCCGCTGGTCACCTGCTCTACCAAACAGTATTGCTGTAAGTCGACTTGCGGTGGTTTGGGTCTTGAGTAGATGATCACTTTTCTTTTTTTAAGACAAAGGATTTCCAGAATATCATACTGTCTGGATTTCAGAAATTAGTATGCCCTGAGTTACAGTTCTTCTTCCTTTCCTTCCTTCAAAGGAAACTCGGGTACCCTGTGCGTCACCCCAGAACTTGTGTCAGTAGGAGCTCAGCCTGACCGGTCACATGTATAATCCTAAACTCTTTCTCCTGTTTTCGGTTAGCATCTATGGGTCTTGCAGATATGATGTCTCCTGGTGAATCCAAGCTGCCCCTGCCTCTCAAGACAGACGGTAAAGAAGAAGGCACTCCACAGCCTGAGAGCAAGGCGAAGGTATTCCCTTTCTCCTCTGCACGCCGCGTGGGGGCTGCCTTGCTACCGCTGCCCTGTTCTGCAGTCGCTGGTGTTGGCTGGCACTTGGTTTTCCGTTTGGTTTCTCCTCGCTGCATGCCTTCATTGTCTGCACCGTGTTTGTCGTCTTTCTTTCCCCACCCCCTCATGGTGTGGATCTGAAAGTTACTAGTTCTATGGCATTAACTCATGGTCGTGGGAGAGGGGTGGAGGGACGAGACCCACCTAAGAGAGGTGCTTTGGGGGTGGGGAGAAGTAAGGAATCTTGCCTGGTTTTGATTCTTGCAGCCATTTTCTCTGCCTTCAGTTTATAGCTTCCTGTTTTGGCCGCCTCAGCAACAACAACATACTTAATTTTTGCTTTCCTGCCTTATTTGATAAATAAGGTGAACAGCTTTTTTTTTTTTCTTTCTTTCATAATGGGTAACCCATGCTTAGCATTCCATGTAAGCTTGAAGTAAGCATGGTGGCTTAGTGGCCTTATCCAGCATCCAGCAAACTTACCAAATTATACTAATTAAGAATGCTGTTTTAATCCCTTTCTGTGTGTGTGTGTTTGTGTGTGTTGTTTGTACATGTTTTATATATATCTATTACATATATATAAAAGTCAGTCTGTTGAACTGGATGTACTTTCTGTTATTTTAAATAAAGTTTGCCCTACCTTTGTCATTTTTTTTTTTATTCCTCTACCACAGGATAGCTACAGCTCTCAGGGTATTTCTCAGCCCCCAACCCCCGGCAACCCGCCCGTCCCTTCCCCAATGTCCCCCAGCTCTGCTAGCATCTCCTCCTTTCACGGAGATGAAAGCGATAGCATTGGCAGCCCAGGCTGGCCAAAGACTCCGTCAAGCCCTGTAAGTGGCTCTGGTTTTCGTGTTTTCCTTTTTTTTTTTTTTTCGGGGTTTTTTGATAATGAACTAATTCTACTTTAATGCTTGCTTATTTATTTGTTTATAAGACTTTTTCTTCAATAATTTATCGATGAAAGGGGTTCTTTATAATTATATCAGTAACAAAATGAGTAAAGTCGATGTGCATTGTAGAAGTTGATTTCTGCTCATGGAACCGCTGCTGTAACGAAGCACCTGTGCACTGAGCATGCGATTGTGTTACTGGGTCCAAACTCCCTCCCACGGTGATTTGGTTTAAAAGTCTAACCCGTTGTGCACCTGAGAAACTTAGGAAATTTAAAACGAGGCACTTCGCCACGTACGTGGGACCTAGTAAGCAGCTGTGGAGCGAATGACAAGTTTGGCGTTTGGCCCAAATCTTTCAGGGGCTGTTGTATCTGAAACATCTTATTTCAAAACTGTTACCTAAAAATATAAGCATTATACTGTGGGTAAAATTCAGCATAATATCACCCCTGCTTATTTCAACCCACTTATCAGAAATTAACAGAAAAGTTGTGGGGATGTTGGTGCATGTGACTATTTGGAATGTTACTTTTAGATTAATGATGTGTGCCTGCATTAGAATCAGTTGAGGTGAAAAATTATATCCTGCACGGGACTGCTAATAATCTTGAAATTGTGTGGCTTCCAAATGATTTATATTTAAAAAAATGATAATGTGTATATAAGGGAATTTTTTAGCCTTTATACTCTTCTGCCCTTAGAGTCTTTGTTTTCCTACTAAAGAAATCAATTCAGTGCCATCAAAAAAAAAGAAAGAAAGAATGGCACCATAGTGCCCTTTATTTTACGCTCATGAAGTAAATCAAAAGATCTTTAAAAACAAAACCAAACCAAACCTTAATGTTCGATTACTTGCCAACAAAGCTTAATTAACATACTAACTTTTGTGAGCCAATGTATTGGAAAGCGGGGCTCGGGAAGAGCAAGCAGGAGAAGCCTGTACCTGCGGAATTCGGCAGCTCGTCAAAGCCCAAAAGGAGGCTGCTGTCGACTAATCTGTGCGATGGTTTAAGCCATTTGAGCTGAAGGTTTTTAAAGAGTTGGTGGTTCCAGTACCTATTTGTAAAATTCATATGGAGCTCCAGTCTAACCAGTATTTTCCTTTTCAGAGGAAGAACTGGTAGATCTTCTCTGTTACCCTCTCTGTAGACACATTTTGCTTTTGCAACAACCGAGATAAAGGGAACAGTGCCTCTAGGATGGGTTAAGCTGAACTAATGGGGAGGGGGAAGTGCGGCTCCTGGCGTTGATGTCTGTGTGTCAGTTGCTTTGAATCTCAGAAGGCATCCAAAACTGGGGGGGGGGGGGGGTCCCCCACACTCTGCCCTGCTTTGTGTTGTCTTAATCTGAAGAAAAGCATTTTTGACTCTAACGCTCTCAAGTTAACAGGTAGAACTCAAATGATAACTTTTCAAAAAACATTTGTATGTCAGCTCAGAGGGAGACATTTTAGAGGTTGAAAATCTTTAAAACGTTAAGATAATAATAAAGACTAAGTTTATTAAAAACAAAGACTACTGGTGGACTAGATGTTGAAAATTCTACCTTGCTGATTTCTGAGTTATAGAGAATGATGGAGATATTTATTGTATTTTAACTTACTAGTTTCATTCACCCCATGTTCTACTTAAATACAAGAAAAAAAGCAAATTGAATTGTTAACTTTATTTTCTGGTTATAATTTACTTAAAATTGCATATGACTCTTCTTATTTATAAATATTTTTACATACATTACCTCTTACTGTACCCTAACCTTTATAAGAGTTATTTTTAAAGATTTTATTTATTAACTTTTGGAGGGAGAGGGAGGGAGAAAAAGAGGGAGGGAAACATCAGTGTGCAAGAGATACACGGATCGGCTGACTCTCGCACGCCCCCAGCTGGGGGCCTGGCCTACAACCCAGGCCTGTGCCCTGACGGGGAATTGAAGCAGCAACCTTTCGGTTCCCAGGCCAGCACTCAGTCCACTGGGCCACACTAGCCAGGGCCATTTTAAGAATTTCTAAGCCAACTTCTGGCTCCCGTGGTAGATAAGAACAAGGGAAGCTGCAGTCGGGTGGTGGGAGATGGCAAGGATTGCACTAGATGAGAAGACAGCCGTTCTCTTGAACGAGATGCTCATTCCAGAAAGGACCAAAGGGTATCGTAACGAAGGACCTCATTTCATCTCTGCTGTCAAGTCACTGCAGACGCGTCCACTTAGGAGTGCTCGCCTGCCTGCCGTGTCCGGGACTGACTGCAGTTTGTACTGAGAGTTGCCCTCACCAGGCCCCTGAGAAAGCCAGTCTAATAGCAGGCGTGGACCAAACAGAAACACCTTCTGTGCTTCGGCAGCGCGCTGCGGACCAACACTGTGTTGTCAGAAAACATTCTGAAATGAAAGCAAACATTCGCACATACACATATTACCAGGCATATGGTAAAGACTGCTAAAATGTAAATCTGCCTAAAAGACTTGAGCAGAGATGTACTTATAGACTTAATTAAGTTATATGCAAGGAAAACATTCGTGGCACTATAGTACGTGTCTTGCTGGGATTTTTCAGCCATCCCCGTGTATTTCTCTTGTCTCCACAGCAGTTTCATGCAGTAGGATACACTTTTTACTACACGGAGACAGTATGAGTTGGTCCCAGTGACCTCGAAAAGTTAACCCACCTTTCTGCAGAGCTAGTTAGCTTACCCATAGTCCATGTGCAGACTGTATAATGGTGTTTATCCAAAAGTCACAACACAGCCAATGTCCAAGCAGAAAGGTCCGTGTTGAGCCCGGTCAGCGATAAAGTAGGCACTCCTGGTTTGCCAAAGCTTTTGTTTCTCTGTGTTCTTTTTCTCTCCCGGACACCGAGACAAACTTTGGTCGTCGGCTGGGAGGCAGACCTCGAGGCCGGGAGTGTGGAGGTTAAGTGGCGGCCATGGGCCCGGTCCCATCACAGCTTCAGTCTGGCCGGATAGTGTCCACGTTCATGTGGCACCGTGCTCACAGAGGAACCCTTTTAGTAAGACGTTTTAATCAGCCGTTAATTCTCATTCGGATGGTGCCCGGCTTTCCAGACCTTTCTGTCCATGTGAGCATTCACTCATGGAATGAATACCCACCGAGTACCGTCACTGTGCAGTCGCTGCTGGTGATTCCAAGTCTGCAGGGACTTAGAGCTGAGTCAGGAGAGTGGAGGGCAGACTGTTCTACACTGTGAGCACAGGCCACCCGGGCAGGTGAGCCCGCAGTGGAACCAAGGTGAGGGAGCAGGCACCGGGGAGCGTGTCCTGGGACCAGGCAGGAACAGGACCCACCCACGTCACTTTCACTTGGATGCTGTTTCCTGCATCGTGGCGCCATGAAAATGTCTTTGTGAAGCTCTAAAACTATGAAAATACAGTGATTCTATTAAGAACTATGATCTTCATTAAGCATTTCTAATTTTAAGAGAACAAATTGAGATATGCAGACATTGAACTTAAGTTGAATTAATAAAGAAAGGTAGGAAAAGTTAAAATATGTTTAGTCAAGCTAATTCGAGACCTGTTTCAGGTCAGGAGAACCCACTCCTTTCCAGAGCCCTTCCCAGTTCGGGTTTGAGAGGACCGGGTCGGAAGCGGCAGTCGGAGCTTACATTCAGGGTGTTGGGAGAGTAACTTTACGTCGAAATAATTGCTTTTATTTCTCTGAAATTTCAGATTGCTGAGATCGAATCTGAAACTTTTTAGTTTTTCACAAATGAAACACAAGAGGAAGGAGGTCAGGGCTTTTTAATTGATTTTAAGGGAGAATGCTTTTTTCTTCGTATCCTTCAAGTTTTTGTTTATTTTAAAACATTGGATCCATTTTCTCTTTAGAGTACCCAAAAAAAATTCAGTACTAGGATTAAAAACCTCCTGGTAATAACTACCCCATTAATGATAACAAAGCTCCTGAAAGGTTCTCAGTATGAGACTGTGGTATAAAATGTTACCATAGCTTTTTCCTTGGCTGTAAGAATAGGAAAATAAACTTTTAAAAGTTATAATTGTCTACATGGTGTACTCCATATTCTGGAACGTACAATGTACAAGGTCATGTCAACAGAACAGGAATGTGTGCCTGTATTTTTAAGCTCTTACCTAAAGTAATTTTGAAATGACTGACGTGCCGTTAAGCTTCAACATCGATGTACATTCTGAAAGATTACACCACCTTTTATCCTACCACTCCACCTTTGTCTTCTTTACATCAACAGTACCACCTATTTCTATATATTTGATGTAAAGATTTTTATGCCTCCATACTCCTGAAGCTGAAGACTGAAACTTTCAGCGAACGTAGCTCGGGAGAATGACTTGTTGATTGGAGGGAGAGCTGCGAGCCAGCAGCTTCGTGGGTTTGTTCTCAGGCTCCTTGCTCAGGCCCTGTTTTTACTGGGGATGTTCTCACTAAGCAAGGTAGAGAATCAGACCTCACTGGCAGTCGTGTTACTTAAGCCCCGAAATTTCAGCCATGTGTTTGAAATTATTTTAAGGTAAATTTAATGCAGAAGAGTTAAGAAAAACTCCATCTAAATAATAGCTATATGTTGGTAGTCTAGTAAATAAACATGACTGAACAAAGTAAATTGCTGTTCCAAGGAAATCTTTATAGGGGATTTGGAAGTGATTTTGTACAATAACCCCAGAGTTACAAATTATTACAAGTACACGGACATTGTTACAAATACAGAGACATAAAAGAAAAGGAGACTATGCAGGAACAGTTGTGCTGTTTAGGACTAAAAGCGTTCCCTTCCCCCATGGCATAATTCAGGTAGTGGGTTCAGGTGTGCAGAAACAGCGACTTCTGACATTTTAGTATCAGGTACAGTTGGAAGAATAGTAGACCAAGGATTAGAGCCTCAGCACATGGGCATATAAACACACATGTGTAAGAGTAACCACATATTTATAGATATGCTGGGAGTATGAAATAGCATGTGTTCATGATTAAAACATGGTTACATAAGAAAGCTATTAAAACAATTACATACTAGGCCTTCACCACGGTGGAGCAGTTGAAGACGTCCTAAGGAGGGAAAGCTGGCCGTCATGACCCAGTGCTGTGCACTCAGAACTCTCGGGCAAGCACGGCCCCATACCACTGGGTCCCCTGGTTTGTGACCCGCCTCTTATTTTCAGCAGGTTCCATGTGTTTGCCCTTCCTTCACGTGACTGAGTTTTAATGGAGACACACAGTAGCCATTCTTAGTTTCACAAGGAAAAGAGAGTCCATATAGTTTGGGGGGGCTCTAAAATGATATTACTCGTGAAGTGTTAGGTTCACTGTGACCATTGTGTGAGCTAACACCCTTTTATTGTTAAAAATGACCTGAGCTGTCATTGGAATCTTGCCTTCTGGGATTCAATGCTTATATCAATAAAGTAAAAGAGGTTTTTGATCCTTAAGTATATAGAAGGGGGAGTTTGGGCCTTTGTTTAAAGTCAAAGTCAACTCTTAATTAAGAACTGTATAGTTTGTGCCTGAACTAGTAGCCTTCATTCCTGGTTGTTGTGTGATAGTAGTAGTATTTAAATTTCCTCCCTTTCTGTATTTGGTAGCTCATTGCTTCTTTCTCACCTTCCTCCCTTTCCCTCTGCCCACCGTGCCCCCCCTCCAAACGCTCCCCTGGGCTCCAGAAGTCCAGCTCCTCCTCTACCACCGGGGAGAAGATCACAAAGGTGTACGAGTTGGGGAACGAGCCCGAGAGAAAGCTGTGGGTCGACCGCTACCTTACCTTCATGGAGGAGAGGGGCTCCCCCGTCTCCAGCCTGCCTGCCGTGGGCAAGAAGCCCCTGGACCTGTTCCGACTCTATGTCTGTGTCAAAGAGATCGGAGGTTTGGCCCAGGTAGGAATGGATGGATGGATGAGTGGATAGATGGATGGGTGGGTGCATAAGGGGACATTCTAGATAAGCTCTTACAGCAACTTTCTTTGAATATGTAGGCTCAGGTCATTTTCTCACAAAAAGCTAAGTTTCTGAGAAAGTCACTTTCACAGGGTCCCTGGCTGTGCAGCCAACTCACCATGTGCCATCAGCAGGTCGTTTATATGGGCCTCGGTCCCCATCTGTACAATGAGACACAGCTAGGTTTCTCTTCAGGGACCCCGACAGCTGCAGAGTTCTATGGGATCTTCTGGTTTCATAGTAAATACTCTAGAAATGTTTTGCAAATGACCAAAATAATTGTCTGGATCGGCTATAAATAAGATTCACTGTTTCCCTCCGTCCAGAGCAATAATCAAGAAAACTAGTCATACTTGTAAAACCAGGTCCCTGACACCTGCCACAGGGGGTCACCTCTGTCCTTATTCACAGGGCTGGGTCAAGAGTGGGCAAGGTGGCACCTGGGGTGTGGGGTTTCAGGAGGCACTTGTGTTCAGGGTGGTGCAGGTGCCTTCCCTGGGCTGGCCTGACTCTCAGGGCATGTCCCCTTAAATGTCACACCCTCAAGGCCACACTCTCCTCACTGAGTCCTAGCCCTCCCTTATCATGGAGTCTGGTGGGCATGTGAGATCCCTGCAGGGAGGACAGGAAGGGCACTAACCCTCAGGTGCTCCCTGCTTCTTGGGCGAGGGCCTTTGTCTTTCTAAGTTCCTATAACGTGCAGGAGTCAGCAGCCCCAAAGAAGGCAGAGGAAACTAACGAACTGAAGTGCAGTGGTATTGTGGCCCAGGGACTCCTGAGTAAGTGGCGGAGGCCAGGTCTGAATCCAAAACACCTGCCCCCACCCCATCAGCAGTGGTTCACAGACCCAGCTAGGCATTGATGGGTGACTCAAACCTGTCAGTTCCTGGGCTTCCACCCTGATCAGTGAAGGGAGCCACGGTGGGCACTCGGTGGCCTGATACACAGGCACGCTGCAGTCCACCCAGGTGGTGCAGGTCACGAACTCCCCAAGGGCGAGGCATCTAACTCACGAGTCTCCCCCGATCTCAGTGTCCACGCTGCACAACTTGGCTGCAGGAGAGGCCTTGGTTCTCCCAGAGGTACCCCATCCCACCTGCGGGGGCCCTGAGACCTGCAACTAAAACAAGTGGAGCTTGATTCAAGGCTCTGCGTGGTCAGATGGCAAATCACACACCACATACCACGTGTGAGTGGTGGTCAGCTAGGGGAGAATCAAGAGCACACGTCTCCTCTGCACTTAGACCCCCTGACCTCTGCTCTCTCCCCCTAGACCCCTGACCTTTCCCCTCCGCGCCCAGACTCCTCGTCCTTCCCCCCGTGCACCTAGAACCCCTAGGATACTGAACAGTTGGGGGTCACCATCACAGAAGTGTATGGTTTGTCTGAACATCTTGCTTCAACTCTCAGCCCTGTGCATGACCACGTTGGGTCTGCCGAAGAGCCTCTACTGGCTTAGCTAGTAAGTATAGACTGATGTGCCTGCGATTCACCAGTGAGCTCTTGGCCTTGGTCACTTACACCCATCTCAGTCTTCATCTGTGACCATCAGATGTGCCTGGAGCAGCTGCCGCAGCCACACACAGCTCAGCTCAGCAACTTGCGTGTCAGGGTGTCCCAGGCCCCTCTCTGCTTCGTTTCTGCAGCACTGCACAGGCCTGCTTGTTGCCGGCTGGCAGTGAGCGCCAAGAGCATTGGGTGGTTTATCGTGCACCATTTAGTACTAAGTAAATGGATATAAAGAGCTTTGTGAGAAAGTTTGAATCCCAAAATTTAACATTTCGTTAAAAACCACTTGTGCCCTTAACCCTTCCCCACGCTGTTGAACACAGGACTCATGTGAACGCAGAATAATCCCCAAGTGTTTGCAGGTATTCATGTTTCATTCATGTGTTGAACCTTCCATAACGCTGTTCCCCAGCAGGAACCAAACGGGTGAAATAATGCCTAACGTCCTTACATAACATGCAGGGCTTCTTTCCTCTCCTGACTTTGCCACTGTATTCTCTCCAGCCTGAGGGTGACTGGGACCCTGACAGTCCCACCTGTTCCTGCCCCTTCACAAGCCCCAGGTGACTGCCCCACAGGCCAGCTGGGGTCAAGAGCCCAGCGAAGTCTGATGGCTCACGCTGGGCCTGTAAGTTGGGGTGCCTTCGTCAGGGGCCTTGTTCCCTTTGCCGGACACCCCAAGAAAGCCTCCTGTGAGGGGCCGGATGCGTCCTGGTTCACAGGCTCACCTTTCTGGGAGCGTGTGGCTGTTGGAAGGAAACAATGGTTTGCATATCAAGGCTGAAACACTCAATTTGCCAAATAGTTCTGTTACTGGTTTTAAAAGTAGTTATTAGATGCCTTTTTTCCAAAAATTACAAGTGGGACGGGGCCGAGTGTGAACGTGTGTGCGCATGTGCTCAGGGGCACGTTGCAGCTCTGAGCGGCAGGACGGAAGAGTGCAAGGCATTGGAAGAGGCACCGGGCAGGAGAAGCTCGATGCGCAGGGCTTTTTATGTAGCCGTCAGCAGGTTCCTTAATGGCTTTATAACTGTAAGTGCTGTCTTTGCACTACTGAGTGGGAGTAATGAGCATTAGTTAAAAGTGGCGAATGAAAAAAAAAACGTAACCAAGACATTAAGTGCTTTTTTTGTCTCCTGGCTTTAAACAAGCTACTTTGCTGCAAACCAATGACCCTGCCTTCTTTTTTTTTTTTTTTTTTCTGCTAGGTTAATAAAAACAAAAAGTGGCGTGAGCTGGCAACCAACCTGAATGTCGGCACATCGAGCAGCGCAGCGAGCTCCCTGAAGAAGCAGTACATCCAGTACCTGTTCGCCTTCGAGTGCAAGACCGAGCGTGGGGAGGAGCCACCGCCCGAAGTCTTCAGCACCGGGGAGACCAAGAAGCAGCCCAAGCTGCAGCCGCCATCTCCTGGTAAGCAGGAGCACTGCAGCCTCTGCCCAGTGACTGGGCCTGGGCCTGGGCCTGGGCCTGGGCCTGGGCCTGGGCCTGGGACTGGACCTGGGACCGGGACCAGGACCGCTGCGGCGCACCCCCTCCCCCACCTGAAAGAGCGCCTGTCGCTGCAGAGGAAGGGGTGTTTGTCTTGTCTGTGTACTTGTGCCCCTGTGGGTGGAGTCCAGGGGAAGAGAGACTAAAAGTGTGTGTAGTATCCTGTCTGGTCTGCATTTCGAAGGCACCGCTCTTTAGGTTTACCTCATTTAGTCAAAGCAGACTTCGGAATGCATGGCTGGACACCATTACTCATCATCCAGGTGTGTTGAAGCAGTCCCCCTAACTCTGTCCAAAGGACTAGCCCAGGAAGCCGTGCTGGCAGGTGTGCCCCCGAGAAACCCCACCCTGCAGTGGAACAGGTGGCTCCTACCTGCTCGGCCTCCGTCGGGAACACTCAGACTTGCACATCAGTGAAGTGGAATCTGGATTTTGTTGTCATGTCCCTGCCCTGCAAGTTGTCAGCTTTAGGGGACTCAGCAGACTGTCCTGGTGAAGACGCGGTGTCCAGTCAGCTCCGATCGAGAGGGCAGGCATGTTGGGCGTAAGGGCGGGACACCTGGACTCCCACATACAAATCCAGGTGACACCTGCCTCGCCTGCTGTCTCTCCGTGCGACCGCTGGCGACGCTGCACTCTTCCCGCCCTCCCGCCAGCCCTCTTCTACCTGTCAGTGTTACAAATCTGCAGTTACCACATGACATTTTGATCAACACGATATCAGAGATGGGAGGGAGTTTGCCTCATCCCTGTTCTGGGTGGTGACTTCTCTCAAGTTCACCTTGACCTGTGCTGGTCTGATTCTGCTGCTTCCGAGATGGTCCTTCCTTACCTGTCTGTCCTGCACGGGAGGCGGGGCTGGTCCCACCTGCTGGTCCCACCTGCCGCCCCTGCCGCACAGGCTGGCTCTGCGGTGATGCCGTAGAGCTCATCGCCAGCGTTTCCTGAGCCCTGACCGGGTGCCAGGCATCTCGTCTCCACGTCAGACACGGCATACAGACTCTCGTTTAAAATAGATACAAAAGCCAAGGCACGTAAAGTCTGAGTGACTGACCCAGAGCCACAGCCAAAGTGAGTGGAATCGTAGGGCTTGGCTCAAAGGCATGCTGCGCACAGCTCACTCACCTGCCTGTGTTTGAAGTACCTCTGTGATGCGCAAGATGTTAACACCCAGAAGGTAGTGTCTGTGAGCCCAAGAGAGCAGTTGTTTCTCGCTAATTCAGCTGCCGTCTGGACGGCAGTGCTAACACCTAAGGTCGCTAATCGAGGGGCCTCACATGAATACTTGTAGTGAATGTGTCTAGATTGCGGTCTGTCACTTGTAAGTACAGGTAGAAACCCTCTCTAACCCTACCCTCGAAGATCCGAAGCCTGTGCCAGTTACAAGCGTACCTGAAAAACTGAAATCCAGTTTTAAAATCTCAGTATTCACAGAGTAAAACACAAGCTACTTATGAACAGCTCTGAAACTACTTTTCCAAAATAAAAACCCAGTGGGGTGTAGGGACCAAAGTGGTGAGTCTGCGAAGATCTGAAAGTGCATTTGATTCGCCGGAAAAGAGCTTGTGTCACTGACTGGTCGGCCCTTGTGCACGAAGAATGGTCCTCCCCGGCCACGCCAGCGCCAGCACGGACGCCCCGCTGAGGCACAGGTTCCGCAGAAAGTGGAGGCCTGTTCTCCTGACGGCTCTGCCTGCTCCCTCTTTTTAAGCTGCCGTTTTGTGGCAGCATTATCGTTTTAACTGCACAAAAGAGCTTGGATTGCACATGTACTTCCGATGATCCATTCTTCTCAGTGTCCAAATGGAGCTAAGTCCCGAGAAGCAGGCAGCAGCAGAGGGAACCTTCCCACGACGCCTCCCTTCCATCCGTGCACGGCCTGGGAGGCAGGCACCCTGTGTGTCGGGCTCGTCTGCTCCTGTTCAGTGTCCTGTGCACGGCTTACGACTCACCGCTGGGCCAGACGGACAGAGATTGGGGGGGTGGCCGTGGGTTACTGAGGGAGTAACTCACGTCATTCCACAGCCGAAAGCCAGGCACTGCCCCAGCAGCCGGGGGGCGGTGCCCTCCCTGATTCTGGAACTGTCATTAAAGAACTTGTGTCTGAAATGTTCTTATCATCAAAAAAGGGAAGAAACGTATTTTTAATGACTTGCCACATCAGGATCTCACATATACTACATTTTTAAAACCTAGTCTTCAGCCAAAATATGTGTTCGTTGAAGTCAGTTTTTCCCACGGGCACGTAATTGCAGCTTATTCCTTACCAGCACATCCAGGCAAACTGAACTAAGATTCTTAAGAAATATTCTAGGTTATTTTTGTAAGTGGTCACTGAACTAACGTAAATTCTAGATCATTTGGTAGTATTCCAAGAGCCTTCTAAGTCATCCATCTGAATCCAGTTTTGATTTGACATGGCCGATAGGGATCTGAAATTCGATTCTGTCAGCCCCGGAGGTGTGACCCTCAGCCCTTCGGGTCCATCGGGACCTTCACTGTGCCCTGGCCCTGCCGTTCCCCACAGAGATCAGGTTCCCCCGGTCTTCCTGCCACTGCAGCAAGTCAGTCTAGGAAGGCCCTCGAATGAAACCTGGGCAAGGCTGAGCTGCAGTTGCATCTTTAAGGGGATCTCATTATAATAAAACTATAAAAGTTTTTGGACTTCAAATGAACAGCCGCAGGAATTTCTGACTCAGCTGGCCTGGGCAGCCTACAAAGGAATGGGAGGCAGGGGGCAGAGTCCTGCCTGGGAGGAGCCTGGGAGGGCGGGACAAGGAAGCTCCACGTTCAATTCGTTAGTCTGTAACCTGAAACCCATCCATCTTTGCTGACAGGTGGCTGCCTGCGTTTCTATTATTAGCTGACAGGTGATGTCACAAAACCTGTCATGGATCCAACTAGGGAATCCTCAGTGGAAGATAAATGAGGAAGGGGCTCAGGTTATAAACAAAGGTGCCCTCTGGGTGACCTCTAGTCACTGCAGGCTTGGGACAGATCAGCTCTTCTTCCTTCTCCCCACTGCAACCCCAGCCAGAAGTAGGGCACCAGGTTCGTGCTGTGTAAATTATCTCCCCAGCCAGGAGTCTGGCTGCATGGTCTGAAGTGTGTGAATGTACTTAACCTTCAGTAACCTTTCCATTGTTTACTTTCGAGTATACATTTGTAGCTTCTGGCAAAAGGTAGGGACATCCTAGACTGTGTGCCAGCCTCTGCTGTTAATGAAGCTTCAAGAGGTTGCATTCATTTTTTCCCCCCTGAAAGGGAAGGAAGAAACTCTGGCAAGAGGGAAGAATTTTTTTCTTTTTTTTTTTATGAGCTGTAAATGTGAATACTTGTAAATAATGTTCATTCTGAAATCCCAGCCTTGCGAACCATATTTCCAAGGAAGCATGCAGGCCGCTGTGCAGTCCGCTCCTGGGTGTGAGATGCTAGTCATTTCTCCTGCCAGCTCTGGGCCGGTCACGTCTGTAGGAATACCCTTACAAATTTATAAAAGACTCTCCTTTTTTTCTTCTGTTAGACGTTTAAACGTGCATTGCCAGGGTTTCACCAAAATTTGGTTTGTAAACTAGCCCTGGGCACCCAGGGGAGGTGCTGCACAGGACCCGCGGCCCGTTGGCCGCTCCCCGGTACGATTCCTGCCGGGGCCGGCCCTGGGCAGACCTGGCCGCGCGGGAGCTGAGCGGTCTGAGTAGAAGGGATGGCCTGGTGCCGTCACCGACTCCGTTCCACCCACTCACCGATCTCCGGTGGTCGGTTTAATTCGGCTTCCTCTACAGGAAAGCGTGCGTGGTGGTCACTGCCGTGGGACTTGGGGACAGCGCCTCAGAGGGCCTGTAGACGATGACGTGTGCAGTGTTGTTGTTGACAAGCAGCCGCTAGCTCTGCCGTTCTTGTCAGCTTGGCACACTGCTGAAATCCAGGCATGGAAAGAGCCTACAGTCTAGTGAGCCCATTATTCATTGACTAAGCAATTAGCAGAAGAAACCAGTATCTGTCGGAACACCTGTCCTACTGAGGACTCTGCTCAGAGGTGAAGCAGGAGCCCTTCACTTACTGCTCTCCCTCTAAGGTGGGGTTAATTTTTCAAGAATCCCACTTAAGTTTTGGGAAGATTTCTCAGTTCTGAGCTCTATTATTATAATGTAATTATAATTAAAGCCAACTCTCAAAACTTGGTCAGTGACTTTCAAGAATTCCAAGCCAGTGCTGTGTTGTAACAGCCAGTCTGACTTCCCGGCTCCAGAGTCACTGCCGGTGGACAGAGCGCAGGCCCCCAGGCACCAAGAGATGTGCCGAGATGTGCAGTGAGGCCCGTTACTGTTTTGTATCCTTGTCTCTCAACTTAGACACTTTTCATTGCCTGAGACCAGAACTAACTTCTCTGATTTTTTCCTAAAACATCACAATAGTCAATCAGATTGAAATACTGAAATTTTCATCCCATTGTTCTTATTTTTGGACATATAAATTATCTGCATTATAAACAACACCGAAACAGACATTTTTTTGCCTTAAACCTTCTTTATACTAGATTGTTTTCTAGTATAATCTAGTATAAATCTGGGATTAAATACCCAGGAAAGTCATTATCTGGTCAAAAAGAATAACTACATTTTATGGCTCACAAGTGAAATATATTTCCCAGTAGTTGACTAAAACAACTTTTCCTGATTTTCACTACAATGTAAGAGTAGTTCTCATCACAAGAAAAAAAAACTGTGACTACATTGGTGAAGGATATTAACTAGATTTACTATGGTGATCATTTTTCAATAGATACAAATAACAAGTTATTATATTGTACACCTCAAACAATTATAGTGTTATATGTCCATTATACCTCTCTGAAAAAGAAAGAGCAGTTAATTTTATTACATCATTGCCAGCAATGGATATTATTGCTATTTCTAATAAGATAGTGTTTTGTTTTCTTCATTATTTGCTTTTGGGGTTTTTTTGGAGGGGGGTTGTTTGTTTTGTTTTTTTAATACTAGCAAGGATAACCTTGCTTTGATAACCTGATTTCCTTTCCCCATTCTCTCTTTGTACTTACTACTATCAGCTAACTCAGGATCCTTGCAAGGTCCACAGACCCCCCAGTCAACTGGCAGTAATTCGATGGCAGAGGTTCCGGGTGACCTGAAGCCGCCTACTCCAGCCTCCACCCCTCATGGACAGATGACCCCAATGCAAGGTGGCAGGTATGGTCAAAGAACTGTGTGAGCCGTACAAAATCAGATTGGCCTATCATAATGTTCTGGAGCAAATCTTATAGAGAAAAGAGATAGTATTCTCTAGTGAGTTTTTAAATGTTGAATACTACCAGTTTTATTCACCTCACTTATTTTGGATAGTTTTCACATTTGCAGATTTCAAGATGAGCTTATTTTCTGAATAAGTGTTTGGAGGTAACAGCTCTCACCATGTCATCAATCCTTCCTTTTTCTCATCGCCCCAGAAGCAGTACAGTCAGTGTGCACGACCCCTTCTCGGACGCGAGTGACTCCTCGTTCCCCAAACGGAACTCCATGACCCCGAGCACCCCGTACCAGCAGGGCCTGAGCATGCCCGACGTGATGGGCAGGGTGCCCTATGAACCCAACAAGGACCCCTTCGGGGGAATGAGAAAAGGTAAGTGCAGAGAGACCTCTTCCAGGCTGGCCCCCAGGGAGCCTTCTCCTAGCGAGTGCACCTGAAGGCACACTGAGCAAAGGAGCTCTGAACACCAAGCCTCTGCACCGTGGCAGTCACACCACATGGGCTGGGCTTGGGGCTGGGTGCCGGGAAGGGTCGTGCAAACCTGACCTAGGGAGGCAGCAACAAAGAAATTCAACCTCAGAATATACCCATTTATTATATAGGTAACATTGCAGATTTGTCTGTTACATAAAGCAAGATAATCCATACGTTTTCCTTTCAAGCTTCCAAGCTGCTTATTCCAAGTAAGGATTGTGCAGAACATGCAGTCAGTGTATAAACTCAGAAATTCGAAAGCTTTGTGAGTGTTGGAGGCAGCTATTTTTCTTAGTGAGATGAAACATTAGAAAGAACATTTTGTTAGTGCCGTTGGGGGCTGTATCACATTTTTAGACTCTGAAAATATGATCATCATAATAACATGGAAAAATAATCAGTGGTGTTTGAAATTTGGCTTCTAAAGGTAGTGTGAACCACTCCAGTCTCCTATCTGTGTGCTGTGTTGGTGAGAGCTGTGTCTCTTTGGGTTTTTTAGGCCTGCAAATGTCCGTATTGCAGAGCATGGGGGTGGTTGTGGGCTGCTTCGCCAGGCAGTAGGTAGCCATACAACTTGTTCTCGTCGACCATGTAAATGATACAGCCCCTCAAGAAGGAAGTTGTGTCTCACATTTCCCGTGTACTTCATTCAGCTCACTTGCTGCTTTACAACACGGTATGTTGAGTGCCAAGGTAAAGCAGGTAAACAGAAAACCCCCGGGAGGCAGATTCTTTTGCAGCCGTGTCCCCGGTGCTATCAAGTTCTCCATTCCTCAGTTCACTGTATTCTGTCAGTGAACTTGGTGGTACTCTGATTGTTTTTATTTACTCACCAGCATCGGTGCAAACGCCGTGCTTTGTCCTAATTGCCCCATAGAGAGGAGGGACCGTGGGTAAAAGAGCCCAGTCTGAGACTCCGGAGCCTCGGCCTCATCCGTCTGCCCGCTGTTGGGGGGGAGCTTTTTTTTAGACAGTTCTGTGGTGGGCGGGGCGGTTCCTTGCTCCACATGGTGTCAGCTGAGACCCTGAGGAGCTGTCCTCCTCTGGAAGCTCCATGGAGAGCCCTGGAGCTGGGATGCCACTCGAATGGCTGGTGCCATCCGGACGCTGCGCCGGGAACACAGCTGGTGCCACGGGCGTTCCCCCGGAGTTCCCCAGGTGCCACGTGACACTGGATGGGTCTCAGGACGGGGCACTCCAGGAGGACAAGCGCCATAAGCCGCTTCACGTGTGCCATTGGCCCACTGGTCAGAGCTGGTCAAAGCCCAGCCTGGTGGTGGGCGGGGACTTGGCCAGTCGTGACTCCTGGACATGTGCTCCAGCAGGGGGACACCGGGGCACAGCCTGCAGTGGCAGGCATTGGCCGAGGTCGTGCAGATCTGCTGCTCGCTGCAAAGAAGAGTGTGAATGCACGGACCCCACCGTCACACTAAACATGGTTATCGTCAGTCATCTGGATGTTTGCCAGTCAGGCTAGGAGGGGAAACGTCTCATGACTGTTTTAACTTGGGTTTCTTTAATTATTAGCGAGGCTGCGCATCTTTTCAAGTATTTCTTGCCTGTTTTTATTTTTAAAGATTTTATTTATTTTTAGAGAGAGGGGAAGGGAGGGAGAAAGAGAGGGAGAGAAATATCAGTATGTGGTTGCCTCTCAAGTGCCCCCCTCACGGGGACCTGAACCGCAACCCAGGCATGTGCCCTGACTGGGAATTGAACTGGTGACCCTTTGGTTTGCAGGCCAGTGCTCAATCCACTGAGCCACACCAGCCAGGGCTTGGCTATTTATTTTTCTTGTCCTGTGACAATCCACTTTTGTGTTTGCCCATTTTTTAATTCAATTATTTTTCTTCTTAATGACTTTTAAGAACTCTTTGTATATTGGGAAATGAAGCTATTTAACTTTAATTATTCCCCTTAATTTTTGTCTATCTCTGTTTTTACGTCTATAAAATGGAAAATAACATCAAAACTCATTCTGCTGAGGTTTGATGGAGATGAAATAAGATAAGTATGTGAAGCCTGACTTGGTTGGTTGGCTGTTGTACCACAAAGCAAAAGGTTGCAGGTCTGATTCCTGGTCAGGGCACAGGCCTGGGTTGTGGGTCCGGTCCCAGATGGGGCGAGTACGAGAGGCAACCGATGAATGTTTCTCTCTCATGTCGATGTTTCTCTCCCTCTTTTTCCCTCTCTTATCCTCTCTCAAATAAATAAGTAAGCAAAGATCATGTGAAAGCGTACTGCAAAGCGAACAGACACCTTCTCCCAGTATTAGGCTTCCTTATCTGCCCCTCGCTGCCAGCCTAACAGATTCATCAGCTCACAAAATTTTCGCCAGTTTTTGCCTCTTGTGAGATAAGAGTAACAACCTTCATAGGGTGAACAAGCAGTAATACTGTGATATATTGATTCGGATCTGCATGGAAATGTTTAGTTTGCCTATAGACCAGATTCTGGGCTTGACCCAATTTCCTTCGGGCTCTGAGCTGGTGCTAACTTGCATATTTGACCTAATTGCCACTCTGCCCCCAATGGAAATGGTGCACCTCGTCCATTCTTGAGCAGTTCTTAATGCCCTCGTGGTTTCCTTCATCCTGATTTGAGAGTGTGTCCATGGGTGGGTGTTTGCATTAAGGTGTTCTCTTTTCTCCCCCCTCAGGGAAGGGAACTAACTTTGTAAGTGTATTTCATCTCTTCCTCACCAGACTCCGTTAGAGGCATCACCAGCTTCATTGAATAGACAGGGAAGTAAACTCAGAAGTGTACTGACTTTCCGAGGACCTGGAACTGCATTTGTTTCCAGTATTACCATGTGACAAATTACCACAAACGTAGCTGCTAAAAACAACATCAGTCTGGTGTCACAGTTCTGCAAGTCCCCAGTGCAGGGGCTCACACGGCAGGGGTCAGGTGTCAGCTCAGGTGAAACCTCCTTGGTGGCTGGGGCACCTCGGCTTGCTCGGACTGTGGCAGGGTTTGGTCCCTTGCAGCTGTGGGACAAGGCATCTTGTTGACCGTCAGCTGGGGGGTGGTCTTCGCAGCTGCCCCTCCACTACAAGGCAGGTGCTTCTTCAAGATCGGAGGGAGGGCATCTCTGACTGGCTCTGCTCTGACCTTCAGATACGGATTTAAAAGGAACACCTGGACAGTCTCTCTTGGTTAACTCACAGTCAGTTGATGAGTACCTCCAGTTACATCTGGGAAATGCCTTTTGCCACAGGAGGTGACAGCATCCCATCACATTCAGGGATTCTGCCCACGCCCAGGGATGGCCTGTGCCGGGGGTTATGGAGAAGATACAGCTGCCGGATTAAGGATAACTGGACTAGAAAGGGACCTTGGCTTTTGCAAATGCTTACTGCGCTCTGTCATTTACAATTCCACAGTGCCTGGAGGCAGTGAGCCCTTCATGACGCAAGGGCCGATGCCCACGAGCAGCATGCAGGACATGTACAACCAGAGCCCCTCCGGAGCCATGTCCAGTCTGGGCATGGGGCAGCGGCAGCAGTTTCCCTATGGAACCACCTACGATCGGAGGTGAGTGTTTTCAGGGGGGAGATGAAGCCATTTGCTAGGACCTGTGCTCCCGCCCCACAGACTTTCCTGAGACCAGGGGCGCCAAAAACAGTGTCGCTTTCCTGCGGGAGTTCATGAGGACTGTGTCTGGTGGCTGCCTTCACTAGAAGGCTGTAACAGGACCAGGAGAAGGGCCTTGTCCCCAGGCAGCCAAGTTCAGCCGTGTGTGTTAAGCAAATGCCCGGAAGTGTAGGTTAGAAAAACACTGGAGCCGGGGCCGGGGCACATCTTCTCCCTGAGAACTCAAGGCCACAACCGTCCCATGTCACAGCAGTCCTGCCAGCACGCAGGTGCTCTCTGAGACCATACTGAGACTGGCACCTCCAGCTCCCACGTGTGGCCCTTCTCGTGATCTGGCAGGACCTCATGGGCGTCAGCTCGGCCCGCCCGCAAGTCCTCCTCCTCAGAAGGGCTGTGTGGTGGTGGCCGCAGGGGCTTTGGGCAGGCCCGGGCGTGTGAGTTCTGGGGAAGCTCTTGTAGCCCATTTCTTCAGATGTCCCCGCTCCTCCCCATGGACACTGGAGCTGGGGGCATCCTGTGCTCCTTAACAGACATCTCCCAGAAAAGCCATGGCACCGGCCTCACCCTAGCTTCCTTGCAGGATGGCGTCTTGGCAGGCACACGGCAAGTTGCGTGGCAGCACTGACCCAGCGTTGTGTGTTCTGAGACAGGAGCCGGTGCTGCGCCTCTGAGAGGGAGCAGGGAGCTGCTCCCTGAAACAGTGCTCAGGGGAGGCGCTCTTGCTGCCCCAGGGCCGGGGGGGCGGCTCCGAGCCTGCAGCCCAGTGCCACTCTCCCTGCAGGCCCTTCTCTGTGCTCTTTGCCTCCCTGAGAGCGGCGCTCAGGGACAAAGCTTTAATGTAATAACAGCGTTTTTTAAAGGGAAAAATGGAGGCACCACCAACAGCTCCTTTTCTGGCTGTAGCCACGTGGGCATTTCTCCAGATGTGGGGGCTTTCCTTCAGAGTCCGGGGGATCAGAGTGGTGCCCCACTCATCGGCCCCCCACTCAGCGGCCCATATGCTGGGAACAGTTAGGAAGTGAAGGAGGTGTTCCTGGCTTAACACACAGGGAGTTGGTGTGTTAGAACCAACCAACTAATGGTGACTTAGAACTCGAGACTTATCATTCTTACCCTGGTGAAGTGTGGCGAATGTTTGTTATAACGCCTGCATTAAATCAGTTAACCATGGAAGTGTGTGATATACCAGATCAAGAGTTTTGCTTAGATGTGGTGTGTCTCTGAGGGTCCGGCAAAAGCTGCTGCATGTGTGTGTCTCGGCTGATGAGATCAGAAAACAATTGTCCAGAGACACCCCATCTTAGAGGCCTCGAAGCAGATACGCACATTTTCCTGTTTCTTCCGGAATGCTTTCCACGGTGTTGCTCAGCCTGGGTTTGAACGTCGTTTTGCTGCTACCGCGTTAGCGAGAGGGGTCTGCCTCATTGCTGAGTTTTCTCTTCTGAAAAGCGTTACCTGTTCAGTTTAAATTTTACCCACGTCAATTGTGTTTTTCCTCCTAACTATATAAGCTTTCTTCTAGATAGATACGAATGCCATTACAAAAACAAAAACTCCCCTTATATCTGGTTTACATGTGATATTCTAAAAGTTCATTTATTATTCTCATTCATTGACCAGTTTAGGAATATATTGAATCTAAGTATTCTTTTTCTTACAAGATAAATATAGTAACTCAACCAGTTTATTGTTTTAAATTTCAAATCTGTTGAGTTTTTGGAACATGCTATTTTTTATATTTATAATTTCTCAGTAAAATAGCTGAAAAAATGAGTCTTAAAATGGGAATGATGTAATAGAAATACATTTAAATCATCCCTGTTACTCTTTTCTCTATAAGCCTTTCAGTATTATAGGGCTTTGAAATTTTGAGCACTAGCATCCATATAATTATTAGCTAACTGAATATCACTTGGATTAATTTTGAAGCATACCTTTCGAAAATCAAACATCTCTCATTCATAATGAGAGAGTGAGGAGTGGAACTATTTTCTGTTACCGCATGTCCATGTAGTGGTGCTCTCAGAAATACCGCTTGGGTTCTCAGACTGTGTGGTTTCTTGCTTTCGTTAACAACCCCCGTCACAGTCCCGTAGGATGCTCCCTGGTCGGGAGCGGGTGGGCGGGGCCTCTGCTCAAAGCCAGAGGTGCCCGCCCAGCCAGCCCAGACTCCTCCTGCCTCTAACCAGGAGATTGGCGGCAGTCCCAAAATGGGTGTTCCCATCCCTTTTGCCAAAAGTTAAAGTCTGCGGCTGCTCAGGCTGCCTCTGTCGGAAGGTGTGTGAGTAAAGAAAAGCTGTTGAGGAGCATAGAGTTTCAGGAAATGGACTATTCTTTTCTCTCTTGGCCTAAAGTTTTCTCTGAATGCCTCATTCCAGGCATGAGCCTTACGGGCAGCAGTACCCAGGCCAAGGCCCCCCCTCGGGACAGCCGCCGTATGGAGGACACCAGCCGGGCCTGTACCCGCAGCAGCCGGTGAGTTGGCGAGTGGGCGGGCACCTCTGTGCTTTCAGTTTAGAACTCAAACCTGGGTTACTGCTAAAGAGTCCTAGTGAGCATGACAGAACTGGCCGGCGTGGGTTGAACAGCCACGAGGTGTTGGTGCTAGAAAGTAGTCTTAGGATTCTGCAGTCAGCAAATTAAAAATAGCTCTTGATATACAGTCTCCTGAGACCAATACAGCCTGTAAGAAGCTGAGGACGTTCAGCCTTGTAAATAATAACAAGCCCAACTTAAGCATATTTTAAACATGTCTGTTGTGTGTACTGTCATAGTCAAACTATTTCTCAACAACACAAGATCTAAGATCTCTGGTAAAATAGAGGGGGGGGTTAAATGCTCATTTAATTTTACTGGCACATGTACGTACATCGAATTGTATTGGTAAACCAACTAGTCTGCAGCAGATTTCAGGGAAAGAGAAAGAACAGTAATCACACGTCGGCATCGTGCTCACATCAGGACATTCGCACCTGGTCAGGTGCGGGCGCCCCTGGTGTCCCCGAGAGGGAAGCTTAGTGACAGGGGCTGCGCCCAAGCCCACCCTCAGAGGCGGGGGCCAGCAGGGCTCTCGTGGGAGGGTCTGACCTGGGCCAGCCGGGAGCTGGAGCGAGGGCCGTGGGTGTCGGGCGTCAGGGCAGCACAGGCGGGTCCCGTCTGAGGAGTCAGCTCCTCCAGGGGGCGTCCTGTAAAGTGAGGCCTGAGGGATCTGTGTCACCCAGGAGCCTCTCAGGTCTGTCCTTGTGAGATTTATCCTTTGACCCTCTGGGGTCACCACCTTAGTGCCACGCCAAGCCCCTGTTCCTGCCACCTGTGTGATAGTCACCAAAGCCATACCCCCGTCCGGTATTGCAGTCCTGGAAATACCAAGACAGGAGGCTCTTATCTCCCAAGCACTTGACAATGAACTTGGGAAGCCCTCTTAAGAGTACAGTGGCGTGGTACAGTGTGATAGTGAAGCAGAACACACCGGGTGCTGGTCCTCGGTTGCTGTAGGGCCTCCCCTAGTCACTGCGCAGCGAACACCCACCAGGTGATACCAGTTTTGCACAATGCACCTGCCTGTTGGCGTGACTCGTCTCTCTGTGAATTTCAGAATTACAAACGCCATATGGACGGCATGTACGGGCCTCCAGCCAAACGCCACGAGGGGGACATGTACAACATGCAGTACAGCAACCAGCAGCAGGAGATGTACAACCAGTACGGAGGCTCCTACTCGGGCCCGGACCGGAGGCCCATGCAGGGCCAGTACCCATACCCGTACAACCGGGAGAGGATGCAGGGCCCGGGCCAGATCCAGCCGCACGCCATGCCCCCGCAGATGATGGGCGGCCCCATGCCATCGGCCTCCGGCGAGGGGCCCCCGCAGAGTATGTGGGCGGCTCGGAACGACATGCCTTACCCCTACCAGAACCGGCAGGGCCCCGGTGGCCCCGCACAGACACCGCCGTACCCCAGCATGAACCGCTCGGACGACATGATGGTCCCTGACCAGAGGATCAATCACGAGAGCCCGTGGCCTTCCCACGTCAGCCAGCGTCAGCCTTACATGTCCTCCTCCGCCTCCATGCAGCCCATCACGCGCCCACCGCAGTCGTCCTACCAGACGCCACCCTCGCTGCCAAACCACATCTCCAGAGCACCCAGTCCCGCGTCCTTCCCGCGCTCCCTCGAGAGCCGCATGTCGCCCAGCAAGTCTCCCTTCCTGCCCTCCATGAAGATGCAGAAGGTCATGCCCACCGTGCCCACGTCCCAGGTGGCCGGGCCGCCGCCCCAGCCGCCCCCAATCCGGAGGGAGATCACCTTCCCTCCTGGCTCCGTGGAAGCATCACAGCCGGTCTTGAAACAAAGGCGAAAGATTACCTCAAAGGACATCGGTAAGTGTGCCCAGGGCTTTGCTCCTGAAGTGAGTGCTGGGTGTGGCCTAGAATTTTGCCATTCAGATGTACTTCCTGTTCCTCTCCAAGGTAGGAAATTCGTAGGAGAACAAACTGTCCGGTTTTCGTAGGAGCAGTGGTTGATAATAATTCACTAATGGGAATTGAGAAGCAGCACTGGAGAAGAGCATGAATTCAAGTGGTGTCTTCACACGGGACTGTTACTGTGTAAGACAGGTGGCTCCAGATGAGAAACCAGGGAAGCCTCAGTGACTGTGGACTAGGTTTTAGGCTTGAAGATTTGACCTTGACCAAGCACTTAATCTCTGCAACACATGCTTAGCAGAACAGCTGTGGGGCTGGTGAAACGCTAGGTGGCCTAAGAAAAAGCCACCCTGTCGCTGAGGTGACAGCATACAGACGGGCAGTGAGTTTGCCTGGGAGAGAGCAGGAGCCTGACCGCTGGCAGGCAGGGGTGGAGCTGGGGGTGGAGCTGGATGCGGCGTGTGGCGGCGGCGGGCCAGGGGGCCGCTTCAGCTGAGGGCCGAAGGCGCTTGTCCATCCTCCTGGGGACATTCTGAATGCCAGCCAGGTCTCTGGACTTGCTGGGAATACACAGTTTTCCTGTGTTGTTTTTGAAGTACTTTTAATACAGCAAAGGGAACTAAAGGTCTTTATTATATTAAAAATTTATTTTCAAAAATCTCAAAATCACTTGACGTGAAATCCTTGCAGTGATCAGAAAGATATTAAAGACATTTTCAATCACTGGGCACTAAAGAGCTATAGAGAGGGGAAGAAAAGTGAGGAGTTTTATTTAGAGAGGGGTCCTGGAAGTGAGCAAGAGATACAGACACAAGCACCATTATATGTATGGAAATATATGTAAAAATATGCACATGTATTTGTATGTTTATGTGTGTGTTCATATGTTTAAATTTTTATAAAATTTCTTAGTACACATTATGCTGTGTACTAAGTGTTTGTAGCCTAGGGAAATTTACGTTCCTTACTTTAGAAAGGAAGTCTGCTTTTTCTTTTATGAAAACATTATGTGCCTATCTCAGAAAAACTAGAAAAGTAGATGAAATTAAAATAAAGGTGCACCTGAGGGTGCTGTTGGCGTCTGGTGTTGGCTGTGGCCATGGCGAGCTCAGATGCGCCCATCTCCCCACGCCACGTGCTTCCGCGGCCCTTGCAGCACCTGGCGGGCCTCTTCTCTGGGCCCCGCTCGCGGCAGACCTTGTGCACGCTTCATCCGGTCGCTCTGTCATCTTCGGTAACAGGAGTGGGGAAGCCCTCCGTCTCCCACCCTGGCTCATGCCAAGCTCTTGAAAAATCTGAACCATCGAGTGCTGGTGTCTGTCAGCAGCACGTTCTGAGGTCAGAGGTCAGGACTGGACGAGGATGGCATGAGAAAACCAAGACCTCGTATCTGAGAGGTGCTATTGGGGAATAATTTTCTGTTATATTTGCCAGCCTTCTGAAGATGCCACCTTGAGACACTGGCAAACGGAGCAGGCAAAAGAAGACAAGTAGCATTGTCTGGTCTGACTCCAGCGCTGGCGCTCTGATGCAGCGGGCTCTCTCCGGGTGTAAAGGAATGACGTTGGCCACGTGCGAGCCACCACCCTCTAGAAGCACGTTTGGCTCACGTTTCACCCACGAAGCAGAGGGATCTTACACACCAAAGCCCCTCAGGACAGCTGTCCCCTCATTTAAGATCTGGAAATGATCACGCTTAACGATCCCTCGCAGCAGTCACTTAAAATCAGTACCTCACTCAGCACTGCACTGCTTCTTTCTTAGCCTTCTGCTCGTCCCTGTCCTTCCACGCAGACAGTTCATGTTCGTCACACCCTTATTCTTCCCCCCACTTCCAGTGACTCCGGAAGCATGGCGTGTGATGATGTCCCTGAAGTCAGGTCTTCTGGCCGAAAGCACGTGGGCTTTGGACACCATCAACATCCTCCTGTATGACGACAGCACCGTCGCTACGTTCAATCTCTCGCAGGTAAGCCAGCGCCAGTCCAGCCGAGGACTGACTGGGGTAAGGAAAAGAAGTGGCGCTCACAGCTCAGACCGATGCCGGCACTCAGCACCAGTCAGCGTGAGGCTGCCCAAGAGTTTGGTCTGGGCTAAAATCACTCCAGGCTTCCTAGAAATTCACGCATACCTATGTCCCAGAAAACCGTGACCCTGTACATGTATGTGTGGGGGTGGGATAGGTCATAGTCAAATGGCTGTTTTAGAATGAGTATTAGCAGCCCAGTGGGAATTAACTCGAAGGTCACGCACAAAGTTCTATCTGTAGTCAGTGTTAGGAACGTAGCAGGTTGCAATGGAGTGTTACTTTTCTTTCCAAGGGGACTCATACCTTTTTAATTTTAAAAAATGTAAAAGTAGAGAGAAACTTTATATTTATAAAATGTTAATGTACAATCGTCCCTTGAACGGCGTAGGGACAAAGGGTGCCCCCACAGTCAGAAATTGGAGAGTAACTCTGCCTCCCCAGGCAGACAGGTTTTTCCCTCAGGGACTGGCCCAGGACCCCCCGTGAATATCAAAATCCACGGATGCTCAAGTCATTCGTGTAGAATGGTGTGAATCAATACATACGGTCACCCTCACAAATCCGAAACTGCACAGGTACCCGCTGAAAAGAATTCTGCATGTGAGCCGACTCTCGCGGTTCAAACCCATGCTGTTCAAGGGTCCACTCTCGTGCGAGTAGAGCCAGCAGTTGAACGAATCCCCACGTACCCGCCGTTCAGCTGAAGTGGCCTTGAGCCCGCGGCCGGGCTTGTTTCTTCATGTGGTCCCTCCATCTCTCTCCGGGTTACTCTGAAGCAGTCATGTGAAAGCCTGCTACTCGGATTGAGCTCACAGACCTCCTTGGTTCGTTGCTGGGTTTAGAATAGTCCCCAGCGTAACCGCCAGAAGCGAGAAGGGAGCTGAAGTTGGGAAGAATGCCGCAGAGTCGGCTGGCTACAGACTTGTCGAGAGATCTTGAGAAAACAAAAACACGAAAAGGTGGTTTTCCCTACTGTGTGCGAACAAGTCTTTGCTTTGGGTGAAAAAAGCCCAAACCTCTAGTTCCTTCTATGGAAATAGGACCAGAATCTCCCACTTGCTCTTTCTTCTCTCAGGTAGGTCTTCGCTGCAGCCCTGAGAGGCAGCTTTTCAGTTGATAGGAAGTGTAGTAATAAGGTTATAAACATCACACGGAGTTCATTCCAACTGAAAATGAGTATTCAAAAGTGGATGCCTCCTGTGCTGGAATAATTAACTTTGTCCTCATCTCAGGTGAACTGCTACATCCCACATTTTCATAACAGGTCTGCCGAATCAGCTTTCCCTTTTCCCTGGCCCTGGAGGAAAGTCAAGTTCAGTGCTGGTGTACCCTAAGAACGTGATCCCCTTCTCATTGCCTCTTGGAGTTCCCTTTACGTGGGGACTCCTTCAAACCCAGGAAGCTGGCAGCAGGCTGGGAAAGCAGTTGCTTTCCAGACATCATCTCTAAAGGGTCTTTCTACTGACTGGCCCTGTGTCGTTGCCACACGTGCCCTTGCGGGCAGAGGGGAGGGGTGCTGTGTCTGTTGGTTTTCTCGGACCAAACATGTGCTTAAGGGAAACTGGTCCTTGTTGTGGCTTTTGTCTCTCAGTGAGAGTTGTGAGCAGCTGAAATGTCACATTGCATGCCGTGAGACATTCCAATCCACTCATCAGGGACTCAGCTGACTGGCTTTGACTGTTCCCTGTTTATGCATGCTACATTGCTGAAGTGACCTCCCAAAGGCGATACAGAGGTCATAAATTAGAGTGACCTATGTATGGCACCTGAAACAAAAATAGCCATATAGTTTAATAGCAAAACTGTAAAATTGCAGGCAAGCGAAGTTTGGGGTAGGGAACAGGAAAGAACATACAAATGCATTCTGTCTAAATCAGAAAAGGCTAAGAACAGCGAACCGCTCCTTCTCCCTCCGAGATCACCCTAGAAATAGGAAACTCGTGGGCAGGTTTCCGTGCTGATAGTGTAGAGGCGCACGCGCAGGAAGTAAGACACGGTAGATAAACGTTAGGTTGGTCGGTGATGAGAAAGTCGGGATGTGGGTTCTAACCGATAAGTAATTTTTCTTTCTCGGCCCAGCCAGAAATACAGAAAACCACCACAAAACACACTGTCAGTGCTCAGGACTTGGACCCTCTCGGCCCTTTTGATGGCATAACATTGTACCTGTTCTTGTTCTCTTTCTCCTCTCTAGTTGTCCGGATTTCTCGAACTTTTAGTAGAGTACTTTAGAAAATGCCTGATTGACATTTTTGGAATTCTTATGGAATATGAAGTGGGAGACCCCAGCCAAAAAGCACTGCAGAGCGCAATGAAGAGAGATGATGGCCAGGCCTCGGCCGACGATTCTGGGAAGGAGGAGGAAGATGCCGAATGTACAGGGGACGAAGGCGACGAGGAGGAGGAAGAGGAGGAGGAGGAGGAAGACAGTGGGAAGACAGAGACGGAGGAGAAGAGCGGCTCGGCCCTGACTCCTCCCGACGCCACTGCAGATCCAAAGGAGAAGCCCAGGCAAGCCAGCAAGTTTGACAAGCTGCCAATCAAGATCGTCAAAAAGAACAACCTGTTTGTCGTTGACCGATCCAACAAGCTGGGTCGGGTTCAGGAGTTCACCAGTGGCCTCCTGCACTGGCAGCTGGGCGGCGGGGACACCACCGAGCACATCCAGACTCACTTTGAGAGCAAGATGGAAATTCCTCCACGCAGGCGCCCTCCTCCTGCTCTGAGCTCCACAGGCCGAAAGAAAGAGCTAGAAGGAAGAGGGGACGTGGAAGAGCAGCAAGAGAGAAGCATCATTGCCACCATCGACGACGTCCTGTCTGCCCGGCCGGGGGCACTGCCCGAAGACGCCAACCCTGGGGCGCAGGCGGAGAGCAGCAAGTTCCCCTTCGGTATCCACCAGGCCAAGAGCCACCGGAACATCAAGCTGCTGGAGGACGAGCCCCGGAGCCGTGACGAGACCCCGCTCTGCACCATTGCGCACTGGCAGGACTCTCTGGCCAAGCGCTGTATCTGTGTGTCAAACATTGTCCGTAGCTTGTCTTTTGTGCCTGGCAACGATGCCGAAATGTCCAAACACCCAGGCTTGGTGCTGATCCTAGGGAAGCTGATTCTCCTTCACCACGAGCACCCAGAGAGGAAGCGCGCGCCGCAGACCTACGAGAAGGAGGAGGACGAGGACAAAGGGCTGGCCTGCAGCAAGGACGAGTGGTGGTGGGACTGCCTCGAGGTCCTGCGGGATAACACGCTGGTCACGCTGGCCAACATCTCCGGGCAGCTGGACTTGTCTGCCTACACGGAAAGCATCTGCTTGCCGATTTTGGATGGCCTGCTGCACTGGATGGTGTGCCCGTCTGCAGAGGCACAAGACCCCTTTCCAACGGTGGGACCCAACTCTGTCCTGTCGCCTCAGAGACTTGTGCTGGAGACCCTCTGTAAACTCAGTATCCAGGACAACAATGTGGACCTGATCTTGGCCACGCCTCCATTTAGTCGTCAGGAGAAATTCTATGCGACGTTAGTTAGGTACGTTGGGGACCGCAAAAACCCAGTCTGTCGAGAAATGTCCATGGCGCTCTTATCGAACCTGGCCCAAGGGGACACGCTGGCGGCAAGGGCAATAGCTGTGCAAAAAGGAAGCATTGGAAACTTGATAAGCTTCCTGGAGGATGGGGTCACGATGGCCCAGTATCAGCAGAGCCAGCATAACCTCATGCACATGCAGCCCCCGCCTCTGGAGCCACCAAGCGTGGACATGATGTGCAGGGCGGCCAAGGCGCTGTTGGCCATGGCCAGGGTGGACGAGAACCGCTCGGAGTTCCTCCTGCACGAGGGCCGGTTGCTGGATATCTCGATATCTGCCGTCCTGAACTCTCTGGTTGCATCTGTCATCTGTGACGTACTGTTTCAGATTGGGCAGTTATGACATCAGTGAGAAGCAGCATGTGTGAGTGAAGACTAGAAGCTCCCGTGTAACTGGCTGTTTTCTGTTCTTGTTTATCCAGCGTAGGAAGAAGGAAAAGAAAATCTCTGCTCCTCTGCCCCATTCACTATTTACCAATTGGGAATTAAAGAAATAATTAATTCGAACAGTTATGAAATTAATATTTGCTGTCTGTGTGTATAAGTACATCTGTTTGGGTTTTTTTATTGTTTTTTTTTTTTTTAACCAAAGTTGCTGTCTAGTGCATTCAAAGGTCACTTTTTGTTTTTCACAGCTTTTCTTTTTATTGTTCTTTTCCATGTTGTATTGCATTTTGGGGGAAGCAAATTGACTTTAAAGAAAAAAGTTGTGGCAAAAGATGCTGAGATGGGAAAATTCACCACACCGAGGCCAAAAGGTGGCAGATCACCAATATCCCAGGCATGTTATACTTCGGATATGAAATCAAAACTGTATCCCATCGCCCAAAGCTCTGTGCAATAGAAACTTCTAGAGATGTGTAGGTGTAGGGGCTCAAGGAGGTGTGTCAGTCGGTAGTCAGACTGTATGACATGATACTGGTTTCTCCACAGGAAAATGGTTACATTAGGCGAGGAGCAAAAATAACGTGTTTTTTTTTTTAAGATTGAAAATGCGTACCTGACAACGATCAACGGAACTCGCTTCCTCTCCACTCCCGTCACGCCTGCTGTCTGTCGTGGGCCTTCCACATGACAGTGCTTCACGGTTCCTTTAATCATTTTTTAAATATTTTTTTTTACTGCCTATGGGCTGTGATGTATATAGAAGTTGTACATTAAACATACCCTCATTTTTTTTCTTTTCTTTTTTTCTTTTTTTTTTTTTTTTTTTAGTACAAAGTTTTTAGTTTCTTTTTCATGATGTGGTAACTACGAAGTGATGGTAGATTTTAAATAATTTTTTATTTTTATTTTATATATTTTTTCATTAGGGCCATATCTCCAAAAAAAAGGAAAAAAATACAAAAAACAAAAACAAAAAAAAAGAGGGTAATGTACAAGTTTCTGTATGTATAAAGTCATGCTCTATTTCGGGAGAGCAGCTGATCACGATTTGCTTCATGAATCAAGGTGTGAAAATGGTTGCATATGGGTTGATTCAGAAAATGGTCACCAGTACAGACAAAAAAAAATACAACTGCAAGGAAGAAACACAACTTCAAAGATTTTTCAGTGATGAGAATCCACATTTGTATTTCAAGATAATGTAGTTTAAAAAAAAAGAGAGAGAAGAAGAAATCTTGATGTAAATTCCTCCTTTTCCTCTGGCTTAATGAATATCATTTATTCAGTATAAAATCTTTATATGTTCCACATGTTAAGAATAAATGTACATTAAATCTTGTTAAGCACTGTGATGGGTGTTCTTGAATACTGTTCTGGTTTCCTGAAAGTGGGTCCGTAGTACCAGCTCATTTACCAGGTACAGGGAGACGTAGCCATGGACTGTCACAGCCCCTCGTCACGAAACCGTGAGGTCGGGAGGGACCTTTAGGGGTTACCTGCTTTAGAGTGGGGAGCAACAGTCTGACCTCAAATGAGCCAGCTAATTCGCCTCTGTTTGAAGCAATCAGCTCTGACAACACCGAGGTGTGAGGCTTTTCAGGGTCTGTGGGAGGGGGCTGCCAGCCCACGGGGTGAGACCTCAGGAGGTCACCGACCTGACAGTGCAGACTCTGCCTTTTACTGATCCCGTCTTCATTTTAACCAGAGTTCACTATTCCATGCCTCCTCTGTGTGCCTCAGAGTCATTCTGCATTTAGTCGACTCCACCGTGTATGATATTTATACTGTGCAATGTTAAAAAGAGTATGTTATATTGTATGTCGTGTACATAGTGCAAAGTGATTATTTCTATTTCAGGGCATATTAATATTCTCATATTCCTTCCTACCTGGTGCACAATAGCTTTTTAATACCAGTCATTCCTCATTTCAACTTTTTCTTCCTGGGATTGACTGTTACTGCGTCACCTGCACTCTCTTAATAAAACTGCTGCAAAACTAAGCTGTTAGTGGACACCCTCCCGATTCTACCTCTTCATGCACCCTCCCGGTCAGCGCATGCTCACACCTCCACGCCCTCCGCCAGACCTCCTGTCCAGGGCCCATCACTCACGGTCACACACGGAAGAGTTAGACCAGAGCACGCAGTCACAGTCAGAGTGGGAAGCGGGACTCTCAAGTGTCACGAGAAAAAACCTCTTTTCTGCACGCAGGCTCATCCATCAACTCCCACATAACATAGTCTCCTTCCATGACGATGCAGCCAGATACACGTTGAATTAAAAACCCATTTATAATTCTACTTGAAATACATCTGCTTGCTGGGAACAGATTTTAGAGCTCCAAGCTTCAAATAAGGAGATTTGTAAGAGGGGATTCAGTATGGTTAGAATTCCTCTCTTACGGAGTATGAATGAAAGGTTTGAAGTTACCTACTAGCCCAGTTGTCAATGAAAAGATCGAAGTCATTACCGAGGACCGTCGTCGTGGCTGAGTTGGCACCAGCACCCAGAGCCCGGCCACGGCCACTGAGCGTGGTGTGTGCGTGCTGACGTGCACCGTGGTATCTAGAATAATCCGGGAAGACTTGAGCATCCTTTCTCCACCCTCACCCCAGACTCGAGATGACAGAAGCCCATGAAGAACTTACAGCCCACCTGAGATCGTCCTGCCTACACACTGACTTACTGCTTTGTCCTAAAAATTAGTTGTTTTTTTTTCTATGAGGTTTTTCAGAAATTTACAGGATGCCCATCTTGATATGTGTACAAAAAAAGATAAAAATAAAGGTGCAAAGAAAGTTTAGTATTTTGGAATGGTGCTATAAAGTTGAATCTGTTGGTATTTGAGTGAATGTTTTTAATGTCACGGAAGATATTGGGTGGCATGTTCTCAGAAATAACTTCAAAAAATTTGTTGGAGGTAGAGAATGATACAGAATCCTTTTTTATTTGTGAATGTGGCCTATTCAAAAACTAGTTATGCTGTTTTTTAAAACTTAAAACAGACAATGATTTTTTGAAGGGGGGGTATGAACAACTTGATGATATGGTGTAAGCTATTAACTACCTCTTTTATGAAAAAAAAAAAAAAAATGGCCTTTGCCCTGAAATCCATCTATTTCAAAACTGTTGGAAATCTTCCATTTCCTTTCAAAGCCCATGTACCAACTCCCCTGTCTGTTCGCCTGCAAGGAAGCGGTATCATAAATGAGCCAGACAACCCGTTTTCTTCTTGCTGAGTTTGTTTCCCTTCTCTGTCTGGAGAGTGGAGGCCCTGCTGCCTGGCAGCGCCAGCCCTTGTCCCCTCTGCCCCACCCCGGCAGCGGGGAGCTTCATCGTCAGACCGGCATGTGACATCCCCCATAAACACGTTTGGTGGTGGTCTGCAGCCTGCTGAGCGTCCCATTCTTCATGAACTCAGCAGCGGTGCCGAGTATTGAGTGCACACTCTGTGCACAGTTGTGTTCCAGGCTGGAGAGATCGTTGATGAATGAAGACCCTGAGAAGGTGGTTCCGGGGATGGGGAGAAAAGCTCTGGGCCGAACGTCGAGAGCTCCTAGTGAAGCCCCAGCCATGGCCTAACCCATGTGCCCTGCAAAGGTGCTGGGTGGGTGCTGTCTGAGGTCCCACCCACGCTAAGATGGGGATTGGAAGGCATCTGGGTCCCTTTCTGCCTGTCTTCCAGTGAGGGTGCTGTGCGTTTTGAAGTGGCAGGAAAGACAGAACCAGGGCTCAGGGATCCCAGGTTACCTGCTAGGCCCCTGGAGACAGGATGGCACTGAAAATGTGCACGAGGACTTCATTTGAAGCCTTCTTTGTTCTTAAGTCTTGCAAACCACAACACAGGCCCAGGCCCATCTGCAGTCACTGGGTGTCCGCTGAGTCCCAGCCCGCTTTAGTTCGGTGGTGACCCAGGTCACCAGTTGGTTCACCAAGTCAACTGGCTTTGAGGTGTAAACCCAGGGAGTCCCTGGGGGCTGTTGGGGGAAGTCCCTCAACTGTGTCCCCAAATGCTGAGACTCCTTTCCTGTTCCCAAATTTGGCTTTAGGGTCTTGGAGTTTTACCCCAGCTTTTTCCAAAGCACAGCCTAAGTAACAGAAGCGACCTGAAAGGGGCAATGCCTTGCACACTCTCCCGGCCACCTGCAACCCGTTATCATGTAAAAGACTGGAAAACCTTGCAGAAAAGACGCTGGGGAGTCCCAAGCCCTTCCTGAGTTACTTAACGGGGGACCTTTTTTTTTAATCCTATGAACACACTGCAGAGCCTTCTGAAGCACCGGCATTAGCCGAAGATCACATCTGACTTCTACGCATCCGAGTTCCTTACGCAGGTATCTAAAGTGTACTTATTCCTTAAACTAAACTGACATGTCCTCCCTTAAGGGGTTCTGGAATCTTCTGCTGTCCCTATAGTCTTCGGCAAGGCACTTACATTCTTTGAGCCTCAGCTTCCTCGCCTGTGATAGCGTGGCGATGCCCACCTGGGGTTGCCGAGGGACGGGGATCGTGACAAAGGCCCTTAACACCTGTGCGTATACCTCTCCTTTGTCGTCCGCCCGAAAGTGTATTTTGTGCAATTTTACACTCTGGTCTAAGAGAATATTTTCCCATTTTTCATAACCACTCACACGTTTCTGTGTGACTGTCTTTGTTCTTGACTTTTCTATTAAAAGCCATGAAAGCTTAGCCTGTTGATTGTGTTGTTGCCGAGGGTGACTGCAGAATGTCTCTGTGGACCATCCGTGGAGGGTGTCCGACCCCCACAGGTGGTAAGAGCTGTCCTTTAATTTTGCAAGCCTGGGGAGCGCATATCTCTGGAACACGGTCATGCAATAAACTTGACCTGTCCTGTCATTCTGAAAGTAAGGTGGCTAGCAGCGTTATTTCAGGGGTCAAATATGGCAGAGGGCCAGTCCTGTGTTTCATTGGCTGTTTGCTCTCACCTGATGCTCCCAGCAGAGAGCTTCCCCAGAGACGAAGGACTGTGGTCTTCACCCTTAGCTGGAGATGGGCTGGGTTTCCTCGGGTGGTGGGCGTGGCCTTCAAGATGCGTGTCCTTTCCCTGGAAGCTTAAGGTCGGGGAAATAATGAAACTGGAACTTTCATTTTCCACATTAACTCGGTGTCCAGCTGGCCCAGGAGCTGGTGTTCTACAAACCAGGCTTTCCCAAAGGCCCACAGAACCTAAACTTGGATTCGGCTTCTTGAAGACGGCCTTGCTCAGAGAAACAGCCCTTCGGGCCAGACCGGCAGCACTTCTAACACTGCTGCCCAGTGAGTGGTGACAACTCTGTGTGGGTGTTTTTAGTGCTTGGAGTGGACATGACCTTCAGGCCTGGGTTTTCTTCGGGTTTTGTGGAAGCTTTGCTGGTTTGGGGAATGATGTCCCTGATAAACAGCCTCTTTGGTGCCCCTGCTAGACAGTATGGGGGGGGGTAGCTCTTTTTCTTTTCTGTGTCACTCTTCACTCACCCACTGTGACTCAAATGACACCTGAGGAGTGACAAGGGACATGTGGGGAGGACACCCATGGCTGATGTTTGGATCATAATTTTCAAATGATGCTCTAACGCAAGAAGTTATTTGTTCCCGTGGGGAGGGAAAATGACATATCTTCTACACATTTCGGATGAATACACTTCTGGCATAATGAAAAAATATATATTTTTTCCCTGCCAGCACAGTCCTTGTTTTGCTGGTTCAGTGTCTTTGTCACCAAATGGTCGAGCATGTGGCCGCTGCTTCTCTTGGCCATAAGATCTGAAGGGAGAAGATTTCGGATGACGGGGAGCCCCAGAGATTTATCGGGACAAGTTTTGGTGGCAGAGGGGAGCGGAGAGCAAAGGCCCCTCTCCACCCACCGTCCCGAGCACTCCCCTCTGCCCACATTTTACACCGGATGTCTGCTCTGCTGGGTGGAAGGAGATTGGAATGCATCTGGAAAAATAGGTTTTGTTACGTAATGGAATTTCACCTTGGTGGGCTTTGTTTTCAAAAATTAAATGTGATATTCGTTGGAGGGCTCAGAGGACTGAGCAATCAAATCGGGGTGCACGCACTGATTTTCTCAGGAGCACGTTGGAAACCTGACTTCGGTGGGGCCCCCGTGGGGATGTCACAGGCTCCCACTGGCCTCAGGCCCAAAGTCTCAGCTCAGCCCTCCAGCCCTCCAGCCCTCCATCCCTGCCCCTGTCACAGGAGCAGGTCCCAGTGGGGTGCTGCTCGGACCCCGCTCAGCGCCTGGGGAGCAGGGTTCTCGGTGGTCTCCCACAGCCCAGCTGAACAACACCAGTTCACTGCCGCGCCCTTGTTGTTCCCGTCAGGTGGGCAAAGCCTGAG